CGCACACTTGGCGCCTCCCGGTCCCCGGAAACGTCTCGAATCTGACGCCGCCGTTCCTACACACCTGTACAATAATAACCGTAATGTACGGACTTGGTCGGGATAAAATTAATTTATTGATAACGGTATTAGAGTATTTCTCTTAACCGGCACGATAAATTATTACCGTAATGTAATGGTGCTTCCCGTATAAGCCGATGTCGCGTTTCGAATTCGTCGGAGCGATTCCGAAAGTCACCGTCTCGTAACAATAACCATCCGTCGCCGTACTCACGCTATTCCAAAAGTCACCACAATAGGGCCGCGCCGTGACAAATTGCCCTCAAACGTGTTCGCGATCGGCGCTCGCTGGTACGACGGGTGAAGTCCTCGCCCTCCCCCCTCTACTAACCCCATCCAATTCCATCACGACTTGTTCCTCGTGCACGCGCGTCAAAGGTTTTATGTTTAATAATGTCCCAGTTTTTTTTTCGTCCACTGCACACGCTGTAACGTATTACTACCACCATTACGGTTATTGCCGCTATGCGCGTTGTACACAACAAAGAACCCATTCGGATTATCAGTACATTTTTAATGTTATATAGACGATATACGTGTTACGACCGTGTAACGTTTTTGCGTTTGGTCCGTCTTGTACTCGTGTGCTTAAGAAACCCTTTTGCACGTGTACCAAATACGGTTTGTTAACGCTTAAAATATACGCGAAACTGATTGATCTTATTATTATCTCTACTGCGGTGTCGATTGATCCGGCTAAACGTTTTCCCTTGCGTGCCGATGTGAATAAACGCAAATTATTCAAAATTAAACACTGCGTACTTAGTAAAAATAGTACCGATGAAAATAATCATTTCTTAAACGTATCTGTGAAAACTTCTGTCATTTTTTATATAAACTATTGTTTCCACGGTTATATTATAACGTCCGTAAATAATGGTAGTTATATCCGTTTAACGTATGTATAATCAGTATAATGTACTTCAATTGATCAGTCGACGATGGGCTAATGTTTATTTTCATGATGTGTTTAATAACGTTTGTTCATAGTTAAATTTTAATTAAAACTAAAAAATATCATCGGCCATAAGGATTATAACATCTTGAACAATATTATCGCGAGTAATCGAACACAACTAAGAATAAGTAAAATATAAACGTGATATATTTTGCTCGTTTTTGCTGAGGCTAGGTGTTATTAATTAGTTTTAGTTTATTTGATTACATTCCCAATCTTCTTTTTAGTGATTTGATTACTGTAATTTATCTAAGAATATAAAAGAAAATGTATGATAGAAAATCTATTCTTCCAGTATTGTTTTTTTATGAATTTGGATAAATTAGTGTATTTATGCTTATCACAATTCTTACTTATTTTTTTTTATTGGTTTACGGTCGTTGAGACCATACCGCCAAACAAATTTCTCTCCATCTATCTCTATCTTCTGCCGTTACTATCCATGGTATCCCTGGTTCAATGCTTCTAATTTTTACTTATATAATTACTATTAATACGGAACTAAACGAAAATTTTTCTGAAAGGGTAAAGCACAAGTATAAATGGGCGCAACGAAATAGATGCAAGAGGATGCACTTGCACCCCTTGAATTAAAAAAAAAATAATAATAAAATTTCAAATTATAGGATAGAGGCTATTACAATTTGAAGTATTTAACTTAAATAATTCCTTACAAGTCAGCGTATATACTATGCATGGTGCCCTCCCCCTTGAAAAAATTCCTGGCGATGCCTATGCAAATATATAATATTATCATGTAAAATAATTATATACAATTATAAAATACATTACCAATTCCAGGATTTTTTTATTTATAATCAGTATACAAATATCCAGTAAACGTTTTAGGAAAATTATTTTTAATGAGGCAGCATGTATAGAATAAATTATTTTATTATAATGCGAAGATAAATTCAGTATACACAGCATTCTTTGCAACGAGTGTCTGGTTTTTATTTTGTATGTCGTTTTCCCACTTGTCGCGAAGGGTTTGTATTACTACCTACAGCAATCGTTGAAGAGTGATACAGTTTTTATTCCCTTTGTGTGCGCATTTTCCAACACCAATGATGATACTTGGCCTCGAATATGCACTCGTTTTACTTTATTTTCGCTGCCGCCGCTGACATCCTGCCAATCGACTCCTCGAAATTTATTATTACGTGAAATTCTAAAGACATCATATACACCCAATGTATATGCATTATACGTATTTCATTATTTATTCGTTATACTTAGTGATGAGCACGGTACTTTCGTCAGAAGACTTTTGCCATCGGCAAATCACCGCCCACGACCGTGCTTCCGTGAAAAAAATAGTGAAGAGAGACACGACTTAAAATAAATATCATTATTACTTTTCATAAACCCCTTTTCCGAAGTATATCCACGTGTAAGCCGAACATTATCATCACATATTAGAATATTTATTTCGATGTTTTCCTAAAGGTCTACTGGCTTAACCCAACAATCATCCTACTTTCATTCCATTCATTTGCATTCGCGTGAATTATTCGTGCTTGAAGTTAATTTTCGCTCGTGTACGTAAATAAATATTGTTGTAGCTTGTACGGTGGTACCGATCGGTTCCCTGTGCCCTGACCAACATTAGTTTTCGTCGATCAGTAGTCGGTTAATAATCCGCGGTCTGGTCGATTTTCGCGTATCGAAACTCGAGACCGGTAGGAGAAGATGACCGTTGTCGTGCAGAAGAAACCTATTAGTTACACCGATGACCCGATCGAAAGCAAGTCCATAAATGTACTACATACGCGCGCGTGGACAGTATCATAAGTACTATTAAGTGTACATCGTATAGTGTGTATAATTTACTCGGGGTGCACGTAACATGGTTACTTGTACTGGTGCTGCTAACGTACAAGAGGCGCTCTCGTTCGAGTCTCGAGTCACTCGTTCGCCAAACTCAACAAACTTCAATTACATCGAAACAATACGCAGTGATGCGCGCGCGCGGCCTGTACTGCCTAAAATATTCCGGATATGAATGTTACGAACGCGTTCGACCCGGAAAGGAGACCCGCAGAGTTTTATTACTCGTAGTAAATTTTCTCCGGGAAATTGCTCGTGAATCATTTATTCGGTCGGGCCCCGGCAACGAGTTTGTAAACATTAATAAAGAGTGTTATCGACTCGCGGGGGCCGGTAGTGTTGATAACGTCGTTACCATGGACACGGCACCCGTTTCCCCGTCGTCGCTTCCCGCCGATGCCCTTGCCAGTGCTCGACGTCACCACCACCGCCGTCGCCGTAGTCAATTTTTAGTAGCTTACCTTTGCGTGCTGTTTGTTCGACGTGTATACTGTACGTATACGTTGTGTAAGTTTTCCCGTCCCCTTCTCGAGAACCGTTCACAGGCATGTGCGCGCGCGTTAACGTTGTCAATACGACGCAATTACCATGTTTTACCGATCAGAAAAAAAAAACGAAACGAATACAACCGAAAACGGTTCGAAATCGTTATACGATTCCTCTAACGGCCAATCTTCCCGGACGCTAAACCATAACCAATCGGTTTTTGCGACATCGCTAAACACACCGTAACTTAATTTTTACTTACGCATAGTACGTATGCGTGCATGTGTGTCATATCGTATTACGTATTATTTCCTTTTACGCGTTCATCGCGTACATCCGTAATCATTTATGTTTGCTTTTATTTACTTTTGTGTTCTTTTCGCATCGCTGTTAACCGTTCACGTTCAACGGAAAACTATTTTATTCCCATGACAATTTTAAAACCATACCATGCTTCTTCTTCTATTTTATTCGATATCCTAACATATATTACAACGGTTTGTAAAATAAAATAATTATTACCAACAATGTTAATAACGATTCACAGACCAGCTTACCATTTTTACCTCGTTACGTTCATTTTCTTCAGTATAACTTGTGTGTTTTTTTCAGAAAACATTTTTGATTCGTTCGAGAATTGAATATTTTACACCGATCTCTGTGCAACTCGATTTCCATATTTATTTGTATATAGTTTATTTTAAGTAAGTTTTCCCGTCTCAACTACGATCCTCCGTTTATATGTATCGACTAGTTACTTCCCTGCCTAGTATTTAAATCTCCCCAGGGCCTCTTCGTTTTTCTTCTTTCCAATGGCTCTTAAAAATCTCCATGCCCTCGGAGAGGTACTTCACTACTACCATGTATGTATATAAACACACACACGTGCGCATATGAAGGGAATGTATTTCATGTATTTCTATTATTATTTTTATGTATAAATTACTCCCCCTGTCAAGTGTTTCTCTGTCTCGTCAGACCTTTCAGAGGATCAAAAAGTCACGACTCTATCCCGTGCTTCACTGGTGTGACACGGTGATGACCTTTAAAAAACAAAGAGAACCGAAAGCACCAGTCGGAGGGTTTTTCTTTTGTTTTCTGAACGCACTTTTTATACAGAATAAATTCTGCACGTATAAAAACAAAAATATAAAACATTCAACTGCAAAAGTTATAATATTCACTAGTCATACACTGTATTATTATATTAATACGTCTGTTGGTAAATGTACGAACATAATATTTTTATTTTTTGGCAAATGTAGTCTCATTCACTTAATTGACATTTTTTTCACGAGGTCTAATATATATATATATTTGTATATAGCAAATCGTTGAAATAAAAAATTAGGTATATTTTATTATTGATATCCTTACCCCTCTGTATTGCATGTACAATTGTGTGCGTGCGTGTGTGTATAATTGTATTTTGTGTGAGCTCCCGGAAAACTCAACTTGTGTTTAACTTAATGGAAAAACGCTGCCGGGAAAACAAGAAATTACAATTGTCACGCACATCGATGTGGACACGCAAGGGCGGTTCCTCGATGGATTTTTAAATATGAAGGGAGCCGAATTTCTCGATGAAAATTTAGCTCGCCATATTATATAACGTTTTATCATTGTTTGAATCTAATCAATTTGATTTTTTTTTCTTTTTTCGCAGGTGAGAACATTATTCGTCAGTGGTCTACCAATGGACGCCAAGCCTCGAGAACTTTACCTGCTGTTTCGAGCATATGAGGTAATGAAAAAAATTATTAGTTTTACGTTACTTAAGCCATAGGCTAGGTTAGGTTGATAACCGTTTAATGTAATTTGCAATGACCGTTGAGATCGTTATACGCGGCAATTAATTTATAAGTACATGCGATATTCTAGTGCTTGTAGAATGGTGACTGTCTCAGTTGGGTTATTATATCGTTGGAAATTTGTATCGACTACCATCACCACAGTGTAATTCAACGCTCGACTAGTGACTGCTAAGAAACAACAAGAGATAGTAATCAAAAAAAACTGTTTATTTTTCATACGTTTTACTTTATATACTCACGTCTTGCATAACACTCTATTACATTATAATAATATTATATTCGTGTGACTCAGTTAGGATTCGATGTGGAGCATTGCAAAATACGTTACTTTATTCTTTACTTAAATATAAAGATAGTCCCGTAATGAAAGCACGTAGCAATGTGGCCGCGATATTAGTAACGAAATATTATTAAAAGCCAGGATAGAAAGAAATAAGGAAATAGGGAAGAGTGAAGAACGCATATTAAAATGCAAAACTTACCTTAAGGTTGAATACAAGAAGAAAGAGAGAGAGCGCAATAATAATCGATACAAATTATAATATATTAATTATAATCATAATAAACTGTAGACTCACTGTGTGGCTTGAAAATTGAAGGAAGGATAACAAACACCAAATCTAAAGTGTTTATTCGTGTGAAACACTTCTTAACCGTAGTAATTGATGTAAATCCCATAGGGTAAGATACTTAATTATTATGGAAAAAATATGCTGGCTTACAAGAATAAATTATGTCGTTCACTAGTCTTAATAATAATTTTGTATGTCTGAGTAAAACCGAGAAGACAACAAAATTGTTTTCACAAAATTGTATAGTTCACTACTTAGTTAAATTTTCGCGAATCGAATGAAGCGTTTATATGATGACAAGGATTAGATTTTTGTTTGATGTTCATTGAAATGTTTTCCGGTTCCGTAGAAAACGCTCACGCTCGTTTAAAAAATGGAAATCTTCATTAATTCAATCAAAATGTCCTTTGATAAAAAATAAATAAATTTATTATTTAGTTGTGGCTGGTAATATAATCACGTTTACCTTATAATAATAATCTCGAAAATACATTTCAACAACGTTTGTTCTGAGAAGTAAGAGTACAACACACAAGGCCGGATTAAAATAATTTTGGGCCCGGGACCAAACAATTTTAGGGGCCTACATTAATAAATAATAACTAGAGCTAGGATTTACATGTTTTTTTCCTCAAGTCCTAATTTATTGATTTTCAGAATGTTCACAATTTGGCATATTTTCGATTAAATAAAACCATTTTTTTTTTGTTTTTGCATAATTTTATATATTTTGAACATAATGAGTATAATTTTATATTTATAGATTTTCCAGATCTTGTTAATTTTGTAAATTTTTAAACTTAAATTTTCAAATTTTTATAATATTCCTAAACGTTTATTTTTTGAATCGTTGTAAATATACTACATATATAATCTTATCTTGATCGGAGGGCTGATGTAATTATTCACGCATTATTTAACAACGTACTGATTAGCGGTCAGCACGGGCCAAAAATATTAGACCCGGCCCAGTCCGGATTTTCTGCTGACGTATAACGCTCGTTTCATAGCCACGCGTATCGTCCGCGACATTTTTGAATTATGCTATATAAGTTCATACGCGTAAGGGCTGACAAGGACTCGATGGGGTTTTGCGATTGGCGTGTGTAAACTTAAATAATGTAAGTTTAAAAACGCCACATATGAATATTTAACTGTGAAACAGGCCTAAAGCCTTAAAAATATTTTTCAAAGGCAAGTTCGGCCCTTAGGAATGTTTTATCACCCAAATTTAATTTTTGTACAAGTTTTTTATGTTCTGAAAAAGCCTGAACCGGATCGTATTAGATTTAAAAATTTTATAAGCTCGACCCGGGGTCCTTGTCTCGTTTAAAAAAAGCCCAGCTTGGCTTGGATTTAAATTTTAAGAGCCCGACCCATACAGGTATCTAGTAATTATATTGTGAGATAGCACAAAAATATTTCATATTATTAGTACGACTTATAAACTATATTTTAACTATATTAACTAATATTTAATGTAATAATAACAATTTATGATAAATAATAATTCTATAAATAATAAAAATTTGTTTTTGCATATTTTTGCATATTTTGTTAAATAAAACGCATATTATACAATTTTTTTTTGCATATAAATCCTAGCCCTAGTAATAACTAAATAGGTAGGTATATGTTTTATAATCAAAAACCGTTTTATAGCTACATCTTAAATACCTAGCAATAATATTTCAACCGTCGTAAATTCGTAATCATAATCGACGGTATTCACTGTACTCGAAGTATTCCTATAAATTCTTCCTTACCGTTATCATGCTGCCAAAAAATAGACGATATTGTCGATATTATAATAGCATAATAATAACATATTATCCATTATCGATATAGTATACACTATATACTATACAATATATATGAAACGTTAATGTATTTTATCCAAATATTTCTGATTTAATAAAAAAAAAATTCGGACTATCCGCTAGAGGCCTATTATTATTTGATATCCGGACTTGAAAATACAGTTTTAAAAAACATTATCTATATGATTTCTATCATATGAAACGATGTTGCTCTACCATCTTAATCTATTTGGTAATATAAGGGGTACATTGATGTGGTGTATAAATGGAAAACGCATAAACGATTATACAATCGAATAAAAAGTATTTTTGCTATTCGCCTATTATACCTTTTAGTATTGTTTTACTGGCAGCATATTGTTATAAAGTAACATAATATTATTACTACGATATTTTTAACATAAAAACGGTGATAAACCACCGTACGTGTTGTTGTCGCTGAATTTGTGAAAAGAAACTGTTTCGTGACGTTGCCGCGTGCAATTATTACGCTATTGGACGATCAATCTTGGACGAAGACGATCGTTTCGTTGATTTTGTGTCGATTTTCCTAGCAACGGACGCGAATTTACAGAGTAATAATAATTTATATTTGCGTGTAAAACAGCACTTATAAATATTATAATAATGTGCTACACGTGTGCACGTTATACGAATTGTTTTTATGGAAGTTAGGATCAGAGACGTAAATCCAGGGTAGCGGGGGAGTGAAGAATCGCCCCCCTCTGATAGATAGGTGGGTCGATTGATCGATACTTAATGGTCAGTTTTTAGATATATATTAAATTATGTATATTGAAAACTTTGGTTTTCCCCTCCCTCCTTCTCGTAATTTCAACTAGTTTATATCTCTAGTTAGAACGGGTTACAACCGAATTTTCAGACAGGATTGAACGCGTAATAATTTACGTTTGCAAAATTAGTGCTATTGCTGCCGTCGATTAGTGGGTTGCATAAAAATATTTCTTATTTGCATATTGCATATTTTGAATTTGCTATTCTATTCAGAATCTGTGCCTCACTATCTCTCTCTCACTCTCTCACTTTCATAATATTTTCCTCATGAAAAACCTGTTATCCACGTTACCTGACGTATCATGATCCACAGATACACATACAAAACATCCTAAACAAACAAGTTAACTAATAGGTATTTCTATTTCAAATTAGTACAAACTTGCTACCCAAACATTTGTTGGCAGAAAAATATATCTTGGAAAAATCAATACAACCGTCTCTTTAATTCGAATGCAACTCATAAATATTAACTTATTCGATTTCGTGATTGACTCAGCAAAACAGCCATTTCTTACCCAAAAATATGTAAAAGTGGGAATATTTTTTACGGTGCCTGAATAAAAGTTTTTTTTGCATCCCTATCAGATGTATTTTCTGCGAATATTATTACTGTCAATTGGTATTGCATGCCGTACCACTTCAAAGGCATGTTTCCGTTTATTTTATAATACTTTTTATCTGTTATACTAGTAGACTTTATTATTCTACTAGACCCAACAATATCGAATTATTGATCAACGGTATTAGGTAATACGGTCATGATAATTAGCGATACAGAATAGTTATAAAATTAATTACCTACGATTCAATCATAAAAAATGGTCTTAACTCTTATTAAGAAGTATTCTCAAACAACGCAACCGATGTGGTAACTTTTATGGAACTCCGACTTTTTCATATGTGAATAATGCACATAAAACATGTTTATTACATTAAAGTAAAAATTATTTATTAGTTACGTTTTTCAACAATTTTTTTAAATCTTTTGAATACTCATTTAATGTCACACTAATTTCAAATGAATATTTAAAACCACTAAAAACCGTAAGCCAACTAATGAGTGTTTAACCAGAAAAGTTTCAAAAAAAATTACAATAGAAAATTCGTTTATCGTTACTGCTATAATAATATAGTGTATTTATTATTTATTCAGTTGTTAACGCATTTCTTATGAACAACGAAATTAATTTTTACCTACTAAAGGTGTACTCTCTTTAAATAACAAAATGTGGTTTATTTGTTGACTTTTCGTCTACTATCGAACAACACTTTTTATTGTTGCTGACAAATAAAAACTTAATAATATACGTTTGATTTGATTTGATTTGATTTTTAGGGTTACGAAGGATCTCTGTTAAAAGTGACAAGCAAAAATGGCAAAACAGCTTCAGTAAGTATCAATAAATAGCGTTATTCAATGTTTACAGATCAAAGAACTACAACGGAGCCAAATCCTTCTATGAAATAATAATACATTTTGTCTTATTTTTTAGCCAGTGGGTTTCGTTACGTTTCAAACAAGGGCTGGTGCCGAAGCGGCCAAACAAGACCTTCAGGTGTGTTTTATATTATATACCAACTACATAATGTTATTTATACCATTATTATTATCATATTATTTCCTCATGATGAACTATTTGAAACTTTATCGAAACTTCATCTTGAACGTGACGAGAGTTGGTAAACACTTTTTGGCATTACGAAACTTTATTTCATGTGTGTGTATATGTGTTTATGAGCGTGTGTGTGTGTACAGAGTCGGCGTTACACAAATATTGTTCCTAGATGGAACTACAATTTTCCTCAGCTCCAATGGAAATCGGATTTTTTGTAATAATGAAAAAAAAGTTTAATTTTTTTCCAAAATAAAACCATTTAAAATTCTGTACATAAAATATCTATATGATTGTATTATTATGGTATTATCTCTTTGAATACTGTAAATAATATTTTCTAAAACAGAAACTTTTTATATATTACTTTTTTCTTTTTTCCTAAGGTTTTAGTAAAAACAAATATTATTCCCGACATTTAAAAAATTAGAACTTTTAATATTCATTAAATATTTATATATAAATAATAATTTACATGTATATTTATTTATAGAAAATTAATTCCAAAAATAACAAATTTTATAGTACAGATGAAAGCAACGATAAAAATAATTTGTAGGGATGAATATTGGATGTTACGTATAAAACATAAATATTCAAACATTTCTTAACTTTGACGCTCCAAAGTGGTGCTCTGATCGATTCCTATGTCACTTATGTTTTCGCCGACCCTGTGTATGTGTGTATGTACATAATTATGTAACGTCAGGCATTTGCAATAATTACATTTATATTAATACGCTTATCACTAGCATTTTTATTCTACATCAGAAAATATTCAAACATTAACTATAATACACTCACGTATATAAAATATAAAAATTATAATATTATCATTATTTTATGAGAGGCACTGTCATATTTCACAAAGTATATGATTTCACGTTAATTTCGTCCCTCCAACATTTATTCCGCGATATTTTACAGCCTACATTTAAGCAACAAAATTTATGACCTGAAAATGTAATGAACATATTAAACTGTAGATGCATTAAATCACTTGGCCGTGAGTACGCAGAGGGTTGATGTTAATTGCACCACGCAAATTTAAAAAAAAAAAACTTTAGTTTCTAATATAATATAATTTATGCCTTTTAAATCTGGAAGTTGTGTTAAAAATTCGGCACAATATGCTTATTATCATTAGGCACGTAAGTGTCAACCTTTTGCTAAGCGGCCATAGTATATAGGTAACTGATTTCGTGAACAACAGTAGTTTTATATGTCTTGGAACCTAGACTTTTACATAATTTAGAACATATTAAACGATAACAGACGGGTAGTATCCGCAGTGAAAATATCGATCACTTGTACGTACTAATTTATTGAACACTATTACTATGTTCGTGGTTCGCTAAAAGTTTAATTAGAAACCTTCAGCGATAGTAATAAAAGTGCAACCGTCGTAAAGTTTCTTAACGTCGAAGAAAAAAATAATAAACACGTGTCATGTTAACATAAACTTACTTCCGATTGAAGCGTGCAAACAAATTATAGTACTTGTGCGGAGACTACCCTCACTGATTTCCGTCACGGGATGGTAGCACTGTATTATTGTGTGTTTGGTTTCGGCAGCAGGGCGTCCGGTTCGATCCTGACATGCCGCAAACCATACGGCTAGAATTCGCTAAAAGCAACACGAAGGTTAGCAAGCCAAAACAGCCCGCCAACGCAAACGTCACGCCCAACACGCACCAAGGCCTGATGCACCCGCTCACCGGACGTAAGTAATATGACCCATCTACTTTCCTGACACAGCCCAACGTACCTCTCATCCCCTTTGCCTTCCATCTTACGTTTCCTTCAATCCTTATCTAATGTAAAAATAAATATCAGCTTCGCCCAAATATACCGCACTACCAGAACTGGTCAGCTATCGAATAATGGAAAATTACCGCGGGGCACCTTTACTGGCAAACCTGCTAGGGGAATGCGAATCGCTATATGGATTCAACATTTTCGAACAAACCCTCGATCATTGTTGCTAAACATTTTTCGTTGAAGATTATACGTGACACGTGCAATTCGTCATATTTGTGTTTGCCCTTTCCACCTTTGCATACTACCAAAGGATTTTAAAATTTTACGATCGCTTTTATCCCCAACTATTATTGTTCATCGTATTACAAGCACCTTTATCACTGCTCACCGTAAAATAAATAAAACTTCTCACGGTAAACACTACAATAGCACCAAGTGTAGTATTTATTTCCTACTCGTCGTCAGGTTTCATATAATATACTACTAATGACCATTGATTTCATAGTACTCAGGTAAACCATTGGTACTGTACTGATTTTTTTGACATGGTGAAATACCATCAAAGGATGGTCAAGTGTATAACACAAGGACCTGTTTCCTATACATTACCACTCTCTAACGCATTTTGTCTGATACTACACTCGACAGTAGCGAGACTAATCTGTACGTTATGAAACCAACGTTGCTGCTGCTGCACAACGTTATGGGTAAAAACCAATCAAAAGTTGTTGATTTTTAAATAAAATCCTCAAAATCCTCGTTGACGAATCACTGCGAAACGTGTTGTTTGATCCGTTTTCTCGGTACGAACTTTATCCGCCGACGTTGACAATAAATCTGTTTTTCGGCTACACTTGCAACAGGAGAACGAAAATGGATACCTCGAATGTACACTGCATTCGAGTGGAGTGTGCGCAACGTAACAATGATAACGCGACGAGTGGCATTACTATCCTTATCGTGTCCTTACCGTCCGTCCTTACTCCACATGTCGGTCCGACAACGTGCGCGTTTAAAAAGCTCTGCACGACTGCGGTCGGCCGACGCTTACAGTAATCGCAACAATAATCAACGTTTGTCGTTCTGTCTGCTCCGTTTAGATCTAGGCGCCCCGTTCTTCACCGGCGCCCCGGCCGAGCTATGGCATCATCCGCTGGCGTACGCCGACATGCCGACCGCCGCCACGGCCACGGCCCTGCAACACGCCGCACTCGTCCATCCGGCGCTGCATCCACATCCGCAACAGGTAGTGTGTGAAACCGAAACGATAAAAAACTATTAATCTACATTTACCTCCTACCGCGACGCTTTTACAAGTCTATACATATAAAACGACATAACGTAATATTTTATGAGTATATTATGAATACGAACCGTGTACATAAACATATTGAACATATATAGATATGAGATACAAGTTACAAGTTCATCACGCGTATGTTTATGGTTTACGCAAGTTGACCACAACATAGAAACACATGCACCGTGCGTTTACTTATAACACTGACGCCTGTCCAAAGTGAATAGTAATAATTTTTGAAATCCGAAACGAAAACATGTATTAAGTAGGCGGTATAACCTCTTAATAGCGGACATCCTATGAGTGTTGTGGAAAATAGAAATCAAGCTCTGGACTAAATATGATAAAATACAATAGTTCGGGTTAAATTTATGTAATTTGTTAAGTAGGTACATTTTGATTAAATCACGAAAGTCCGTGACGGTTTTTGTCTATTAATAATTCGTATGACGAAATTAAATATATCTATGAATTTTCATTAAACAACATTAGTTATTGTCCTATAAAAATGGGTCATAGGCTTAAATAATTTACTGAGCACTTAAAAGGAAATTCATATTTCCCAAATATATTAATAACATTTTTATTGTTTATAAAAGCACTTGAAATTTTCGATTTTCCCTAATCTTATGTGTCTTATTTTTTACAAAATTTAAAGCTTTAAGTGTTCAAAGTGACTAATTATTAAATATTTGGTTCTATTATAACAACAATCATCTTTAAAAATATAAACTGATCCATCTATTTCACTCAGAATTGTTTTTTTGCAAACAGTGGTACGTTGGTTTCAAATTTAAAAGCCAAATGCGGCAATGTCACAAAATTATCTCTATATCTCATCCAATATTGAACTCTCCCCGTTCTTGGAGTTTTATCCTTTTTCATTTTAATAATATTGATATTATGATAAATTATAATTTATGATATATATTTTAATTCAAAACTTTGAAACTTTGAATTCCCTTTAGTGTCTGCTATATAGAGGTTTCTCTGTATTTAGTATTATGATAGTAGGACACGTGTATCGACTGCACATGTATATTAAGAACGATATATTTGAGCGGCTACACTTTAAATGTATTGAACTTACATAGATCACACTTTATAACGGCTTCGCTTAATCGAATATAGACCATGTGCATTATAAACGCTTCGTTTTAATACTAATTTGTACTGCCTAGATCATTGAACACACCGAACATCATAATGTTCGATATAATGCGGTTGAGAAACGTTAATGCTGTAAAACATTCCTGCGATGGAACCACTTGAGACCAACTGGTTATCTGTTATAGAGAACGTATATATATATATATATCCCGTTATAAGAGAACTGATTTAAAAATATTACAGAGGTGACTTCGCTAATGGTCCGTTGTAGGAATATTTTACTGAATTACTGTACAGATATTCGTCTTGTATTTTGGCATATTCGACTAATGTTTTCAAAAAATAACGAAAACTAATAAAAAAAATCAAAATTCTAAAATTTCAAATTTTAACATTCGACTATGCTAAAAATATTTTTTATTTCGCCATTACCGTCCATAATATACATGTACCAATTTTGGAAATGAAGTTATCTTGGAATTTTATCTTTTTTTAATATACCTAATCATAAAATTATAAAAACTAATTAATTTTAATTTCATCCGAGTGATCTATTTATTGCATATTGTAAAAAGCACAATAAATATTAAATTACTAATATTTACACGAGTAAAATATCGTTAGGTTAAAATTCGAACCATAGATGACACTGGTAAAATAATTTTAAATCAATCAAATTTATGAGTAAACAAATTTAAACCAAAATAAATAATTATCCCTTTAAATAATTTAAGATTAAAGTTAGTAAAAATTCTTCAAAGATATTCCTATCTCGTTGACTCCTTAGAAGTAATACTTTTTAAGTAATTTGGAAAAGAGTGTGAAATATTTTATGTTTATAAGATTTGAAAATATATCCGGCGAAAAATATACGAATATACGTCATTTGACTCTACCATCAATTTTCACGATTTTCAAACAATGTAACAATCTTATAATAAACAATGTTTATTGGCGTTAATTTTTACTTTTAATGTCCTATGGTATTTCATAACAACAGATCATTGTATAATATTTTATACTTACGTATTACATAAAACTATTTTTCGTTACTCATTGTAAGGGTAAAAATTTATGCGGCTACTTGTAATTACCGTTGTAGACACGCTGCTGTTTTTGTACGGAAACGTTGTAGTACGATAAACCTTTCGATTTAAATTAAGCAAACGCGTGTATTCCAAACATTCGCATGTTCGTTTTTAGTTTGTCATTTAAACGCTTCTTTTTTTTTTTTACTCTTATTATTGCTTTGTACTAATGGAACACAGGCGTGGCGTAGTGTCTATATAGGCCGATATTATTGTTGGACTCGTTCAATGTACATCGCGTATTTCGTGATCGCACTGCACTTTGGCGAAAATGTCTTGCTCGCGACTTGTCGATTATAATATATATACATATATATAAATAGTTGAGGGTTTCGTGCGTGCATTGATTTTCGTCGACTGGATCCTGCTGGAGCACGTACTCCGGAAACCCCGACCGGGCAGTGCAGTTGCGGCACCAGCAACAGCGAAAACGGCAGCAGTTGTCTACTCCGGCGTTACCGGCTATCCAGTGCCATAGCTTTTGAAACACTTATTGCACATTATTATTATTATTATTACTATTATTATTATTATTATTATTATTATAACTATCTGCGAACGTGATTAATAACTGAACGTTGTAAGATTAATGTAAACGAAAGCACTTGTTACATTGCCTATGTGCTTAGGTGACCGTATTTATATGTTACTGTTATGTGCGTGCGCATATGGAACAAAAACGAATAGTAGTTTTGCGTAGCTTGCGGTGAAGGTACTATGCGTAATAAAATCATATTAGGATTGGCTCGTTTTCAGCCGACGTTGACGCTGGGCCCACATGGCCTTCCGTTCCTGCCCTCCCCTGCACTGCCCTCGCCGCCCAACCACCAGCAGCCCCAGCCGCCCTGTTCCACGCTGTTCGTCGCCAACCTCGGGCAGTTTGTGTCTGACCACGAGCTTAAAGACATTTTCGCCAGGTCAGTAGCCAAAAACAAAAAAAAAAAAAACCGTTCACAATATTTAGTTTATGCGTGTGTGTATGTGTGGTGTGTGTGTGAGTGTGCAGTGGTGTCTTAGAGGTCACAAGAAGTCGCAATTACAACCTTTAATAAAACGCCAAGATCGCTAAAATATTAAATTACAGACCCGGCAGTTGGTACGTTTGTGGTTTTGTGCTAATGAAATATGGCATTTACTATTTTTTGAATCCCGAATTTTTAGTGCGAATAAAATATTGCTCGAGTTACATAAAAACACGCAATTTTAGACGATAATATTTTAAAAACTCAAAATCTATAATTTTTATTAAAATTATTGGTTTTGCAACGTTGAGGATCTGTGCGACGTGGCTAAATTTTGCGACTCCTGACATCATGCTTAAATTATGTCACTGTACGTGTGTGTGTGTGTGTGTGTGTGTTTGTGCGTAAGTGAATTAAGTTAACACATAAGATTGATAACAACGGTTTCGAAGATTTGATTTTTTTTTTTTTTTTCATCTCGACGGATATGTACGAGTGTGTATAGAATGAGAATAATCGGCAACATTATAACCGCATGTTTACAATGTACACGTTTATCATCGATACACAATAAGATAGTAATAAGCGATTGTCAGGAGCATTATAACAACATTATTACTATGTGGTTCGAATCTACGCCGGACACCGTAACCGTAACGCGATTAGTCAGGCGAAATAAATCTTTGAAACCGATGATGTCTACTATTTTTACTGTACAGATCATAATATATTAAGTACACACATATCACAGTATAATTTTCCCGAATATAATGTACAGAAATAACGTTGTTATTGTGTGGAATCATTTCGCGTAGATCACATGTTGTCTAGTGAACGTCAAAGTCATTTTGTACAGACACCTACATGATAGATTATAGAAATAATAATAATATTTTCCTAAAGTCCAAGTTAGCCAGAGAAAAATGACAGGATTCTTTTTTTATTGTTTTTTTTTTTTCCAAATATAGAACGAGTTACAGTCAGTCAAAGCAGACGTTTAATTATTGGCCGACGGCCTATAAATGAAGACATTGATAGACGTATTTCTCTATACCCATGTACATAAGAAAATATATAAGGTGAGAAAGGTGGAGGGCGCAAAATCTTTAGAGCAGTAAAGGGAATTTTATTTTAATTTATTTTTATTTTTGACGCGTGAACCAAACCTATATTTGATTCTCGTTTTAATAAGATATAATTATTAATATTTTACAATCTCGATTTTTGGATTATCTATATATTTATTTTCCTCTCTTACCACGGGCGACACGTGTAGGCAAAACAAGTACATAGCTGCACACGAACACAAAAATCGACAAACAATAAACCGAACTATAAGAACCAATGAAAAAAAAATCAGTTCTCTCCCTCCACCCCCACTGTTCGTTCATATGTATATTATATATCATATATTTATATACACATACACATAATAATATACTCATTTGGTGTTCAACGTGTCATCACGTTTCCTGAGATAAACGACTTTATGTGTTCATTTTTATAGGGAGTATGCTGGCCAAAAGAAATTGGACAACGTCAATTTCACGTATACTCACATGCAGTTGAACAACACTTGACAACAACAAGATAGACCATCGGTACCGACCCAAGTCTAGATCATGCACGATACGACAAACACCTCAAACCAAAGCCCTCGTGGAGACGATTTGATTTCTTTTTTTTAAATTTGAAATAAAAATAATTTAATAATTACTAGCTTAAGGCTTCTAAAGATGTTGTACAAAGCAGTAAGAATTTCCTTGTATGCCTGTAGTATTCATAAAACATTCATTTGTGTGTGTATATAAATATATTATTACGTATGTGATATATATTTATATATATATATATATGTACATGTATACCTATTTCCTAACTTTATTCCCTAAGCTTTTAATCTAATCTAAATAAATGTCCTATGCTTGTTTAGTGGGTAGTGTAAGATCTTATTAAGACTCATCAAATCTGTGATTGTTTCTCGTGTATTTTTTTTTAAATACTACGATTTTGCCTATTCACATATAGGCGTGATTCAGATGTTAGCAATAATTATTAATGACAAAAAAAAAAAAAAATGTAAGCGCGCTCATATACATTCACTAAATACATATCAATAATGCTTTGAAAGGGGATTAACGTTAAACTTTGTAAATAATTAAATAAAAGACTTAGACGTTGGAATGGTCGGCCACGATTGAACTCCGTGCGTATAACTTCATTCACGTGTCTGTCACTCCGACCTGTTCGTTCGGCGTCCAAACCCAAATCTATGTAGTTTGAAAGGTCAAAAAAAAAATAATATAAAACTTTAAAAAAAAAACAAATTATATATTATTATATTAATACAAATGATTGAATTCTGCAAACTATTTTTTATACAATTTAGTCTTTTATTTCTTGCCATTATATACGAGTAGATTTTGTTTTAAACAAATTTACAGGGTGCAGCTTGTTTAGCAGCTCATGAAAGTATTTCTAGTTACGAGGATTTTTTTCATTGTTGCGTATTTTCGCCTTTTTTTTCGAAAATATTTCTGGGAACACGTAAGCTAATTATATTAATAATAATCGCGTACATGATTTTAAATAATTATTTAAAATGACAATCTTTTTTTAAGTTTTTAATTTTTTAAGAGACAATAATTATTTGACGTTTTTGTTCTCGAAGTATTTTTTATTTAATTATTTTTAATAATAATTTACAACTAAAAAGATCAAAGATTACATTCTATTATAGCTTATTGTCATTTTGTTTTTAGGTACCAATGAAAATATTGATTAACAATTTTCTTTTTTTCCTGCGTTTCTATGTACATAATATGGATTGTTTGTTTTCAATGTATTGTATTGAAATTATTATTAATATTATTATTATTATTATTATTATTATTATTATTTTTATCATTATTATTATTATTATTATTATTATTATTATTATTATTATTATTATTACTAAGAAATTAGACAAAATTAATGAATTACATAATTATAGTTATTAATTTATATTTATGAAAAAAATACCATTTGAAATACTTAAAATTTTAAGTATTTTATTTTACTTTTTTTAACGTCTGTGATCACCGTATTAATTATTTCAGATCTGTTAAACATAAGACAAATAAATAGTCCGTGTAATGCATATTTCGGTGTTCACAGGCTAGCGAAAGACGTTGACATGTAATTAATTGCTGTAAAAAATAATACTGGCACATTCCATCAATTGATTGATTGCGCATTAAGAAAAATATTAATTAATAATTTTAAAATAAAATATGTTATATTAAATATGCTCTATCAACATCTTTTGCAAAAAAAATTATGATATCCGTCCAAAATTTTAAAGTTCTTTTTTTCTTTTTAATTATTTCGTTATGAATTATACTATTAATAGGTATTATTATTATTAATTATTAGAATATTAGCATAATCATATGTTCATTGCAGTATTTGGTAATTTATTTCAAAAACAAGAAAAAAAAAAAAAAATCTAAATTTAAGCTCAAATTGAATTTGTTTTGTTTCAATTTTTTTTAAATTTACGATAAAAATAGCCTTTCTTATATGCAACACATACATATCATTATATACATTTTAATGCTGTATAGCCTGTGTATTTTTTTTAATGTGATCAACAGTAACCTTATACTCATATTTATATTATATAATATATATTTAACCGTTAGTGGATGTATAAATGTGAAAAGAAAGACAATTATAAATGAATAATTTTATTTTAATGTAAGCATACATTTATTGTGTGCAAATAAAATTGTTTGTGATTTTGGTCACCTTAACCAGGTGTATACAATCCAAAATATATAATCGAAACATATCAATAATTGTGCCCCTCGTAAAAAGAAATTAAATTATATATTAAATTAAATGTTGTTAAATAAATTACAAGATAATAATTATAACAATTATGTTTGTATTAAATGTAACAAAAAAAAAAAAAAAAAAAGAATTCATAAAGGAAAAGTTATGATAAATTCTATCAATTTTCATAAGTTTGTTTAGGTACTTGTGTAGTAAAATTTAGTTGTTACTGAGCGTAATTTTATATAATATAACGTTTGTTGAACGGAATTTTATTGTTACTTTTACCAAACATTGTAATATGTTTTCGCTTGCGTTATTTATGGTGTTTAAAAAAAAATAGGTATTTAATTACATTGTAGCTGTATTAATAAAAGTAATTTTTATTATATAGACGATATTATTTAAACATGAAAAACCTAAAAAATAGGAATTGTATTTATAAAATGTTGCAAACAAAAATAAATAAATATTTAAATGAAAAATAAAAGTAGTGAATTGATTGGGAATTGATTGTTTTCTTTTTTCTTAATGTTATTGATTTGTATTCATGTATTATGATTTTATCCAGGAGAGAAACATCATTCTCTATATTTAAGAAAAAAAAAATTATTCTTTAAATTAGTTCATGGGCATATTGTGTGCGATCAAGTTCTAAGATTAAAGAAAATCACCTTTGTTTCTACTAACTACCTTTGGTTACACTCAACTGTTAATAGTATTACAAATTAAGTAAGTAATACAAGCCAATTGATCAATTACATAATGAATGTTAAAAGTTCATTCATAATAAACATTATTCCAACTATATTTTATGTTTATGTATGTAAACTACCTTACTGATAAAAAAAAATAAAAATTATCAGTTACATATATTCACTTTTCTATGCTAGTTTTCAACTCGATTGACCATTTTTCTTACCAAACAAAATTAATTACATAACCACATCTCACATTTAACTTTTTTTACCGACTTTACCTTACTTAACATTATCAGATATCTAACCTTACTATAAGACAAATTAATTATTAAGATTACATGTCCTAAAATTAAGATAAAATAAGTTTCTTAATGCTGGTTTACAATGATGACTTTTATTCAAATATTCCTTTTCGTTTGAACAAATTATATCTAAGTGCTATTTTAACCAAAAATTGAACAGTAATCATACTTTTTATGTTCCTCCATAATTTTAATGAATATAAAAAAAAAACTAAATAGAAATGTTGATAATTATGTTATACATAGTCCTACAACCATTAAGATTTATTAATTGAAATAAAAAATGTCAAAAGTCCTCATAGTAGTTAACTATAGCCTGTAGAATAATAAAAATCAAATTTATACATTGGTAAAAAATATTAATTTAAGACCATGTAAATACTATAATTTTATGACGATTTATAATTTTTCGTGTTACATTAGTACTGAAACATGGTGATGCATTTTTAATGTCTTCTAGTGTCACATCGTCTATTCAGCTTAACAAAAACTATTACATTTGTGGCTGATCACTGATAATATAAAGTGTACCTTTCAGCACAAATACAAGAAGGTTGATAGTCCAACTACCTTAATTGCAACATAATAAAAATTGAAATATGTGGAGTACTACTCCGTTATTAATACTTGCCACTCGGTAAAGAATTCTTGGAAATTAAACTAACCCATGACCACAATGAAATGTTATAGTGGCAGTTGTAAGTATTAAGACGGATCTTAACTACCATAACTTGCATAGATGTTTAAGAGGAAATGAATAGTAACCATGTAAATTTAACATCTCTAAAGTAATAATTAATGATAACACTAATATATTATTTAACAGATGAAAAAACTTAATGGAATTAATTATAATTTTAAATATTAAATAAATTAACTAAAAATACTAATTGTATATTAAAACGTTAATATATTTATTTAAATTCACATACCTATTTTATTTTGAGATTATAAATGCTGAGATATGTAAATTTAACTCTTAAAAGAATATAAATAATCAAGAATTTATCAAGAATAAAATATTATTTAAGGTGACAGAATTTGAAGATGTAAATACCTACTAAAGTAATGTATAATAACAAATTTAAATCAATATTTGATTAAAGCTAATAAAAAATTATTGAGATTTAAAATAAAATGATTCACAATTCGATTAAGATTTAATACATAAACATATACATATGTGTATATACTAAATATCTATATTTCTAAACTCTGTGCACTCTTCTTTAATAGTCGAACATTGCCTTTTGAGTCACCAACCAAACATTCATCAGCCATATCAATGAACAATCCAATTTCAATCACTCCTAAAAATATATTTATATAAAATAATGTGATGCTATTTAAATAACATAAATATAATGTACCTGGGATCAGTTTTATATAATTGTTTATAGAAGACCAACAATATTTTATATCAGGAAACACCCAATCTAATATGAAATTTCCGTTGTCTGTTACCAAAGGTCCCTAAAATAATTAAAATATAATAATTAATGTATTTTGTATAGTTACTAGACTACCTACTGCTTTATCAGCTGACATTCTTAAAATAGCTTCACCTCCATATTTAACTTCAATTTTATTCTGAACTGGTTTACATGCCATAGGTAGTACCTCAATAGGTATACCTTTCTTCCATTTTTGACCCAAAGAACTAACCTCTTTACTTTATACCAAATATATTTACAGTTAAACACTTAAAACATGCAAACATATATTATATTTTTTAGTATACTTACGCTCCATCAGCAACAATTATCAGTTTTTCAGAACATGATGCAACAATTTTTTCTTGAGTCAAACATCCACCACCGCCTTTAATGCACGCTAAAGTACCAGTTTCAATCTCATCAGCTCCATCAATCGTACAATCTAACTGAGTTTTTTTGTATAAATAACTACTTTAATCTATTTGACATACGGATAATAACTTACTTTAGGATGTTCATCTAGAGTTCCCAATGGCAAATTGTTGTCAATAATTAGTTGACGTGCTTGATAAGATGTTGGCACACAAACAATAGTTAAGCTTTCATCCTTCATTCTCTGTGCTAAATATTAAAATACGTCTTGATGGACTTCAAACATACTATTCTAGTTATATGCATGACAAATATGAACATAAAGCAATGGTTATATGATGATGACCTTACCCAAACGCTGAATACCATAAACAATTGTCGAACCACTGCCAATGCCCAAAGTCATACCATCCTAAGACATAACATTTTGCCGTCAGCATGACAGATAAAAAGTAGTACATATGATAATGTTAGTGTAATATAGTCCATTTACTTTAACGTGTTTGTCAATGGCCTCGTGCGCGGCACTCATTTTGGATATGTCCACATTGCCTATTGAACTGTTTTTGTGTCCAACCGTAAAACTCACGGTACTCATGATGGGAAAACGACAAGGAGTTCTGAGTTTGCTCACAGCGACCAATTTGAAAAACAATTTCGGAAATGTCATTAACCAAAGAGACAGGACAAGGCGAAATGATAAATTTAGAGGACAAACGTAGAAAGGAATTTTCAAACTGAAACTGAAATTCGAACGATAATAATCGATATCGTGATTGTTGATAAGGAACGATAACACAAATACGACGTGCTGGTACGTTTCGTACTGCGCGGGCCAAGTCAAGGGCGTAGGTGAAAATTGCATACGAGGGGGAGGGGGTTTGATGTGTTCAGGTAATAAGTATTTTTATTGTTGTCAATTAGTTAACCATATTTTTGAAATCCAAATCCCAGAAAAAACTTCACCGTAACACGTCTACGCATACGAACATAAAATGTTATGAAGACGAAACAGTGGTACAAATCTACACCCGAGTCCGCACCGAACGCGCGCGCAACGTTGCTGTGACGTAGCTGCTACATTTTATCGTCTGCAAACGTTCCCGCGAGAATTAGCGTCCGTACTGCGCGTAGAAATGTACGTTGCAACTTGACCGTGTTTTACAGCTTTCGTCAACGTGTTTGCGCCGAACTATATTTCAAGTAAAGTGGCGGTATAATTTTTTATCAATGCCAAGGTTTAGTATAATATGTCTATGAACTTACTGCAAAAGACGGAGTACCGTATGATTTTATGCCACCGATACAAATTATAAACATATGAAAAAAAATCCCATAATTCATGAACACTCATCTTTTCAAACAAAGAGTGCTACTGCCTATGATAGGCAGGATCGGCGCCACTGTGCTTGAACACGGTAGCAACGTTGCAAAACGTTTAGCGAGCGTTTGGTGTAGACCCGGCTTAAAGGATCAAGATTCGGGGGGAGAGGATATCGCTGTTCTCGATTTGGTAAACGGGTGGGCAATCAATCGATACTCGATTTTTAGACATAACAATAAGCATACATCAACACACCTGTGTCATGTAATTTATATCACATGGATGAGTATTTTCATCAGCCGAGCGCGGCGACCAATTACTTTTATTTATACGAGGGTATCGTCCTCCCCTCCCCTTAGAGCCCCGCATAATTCCAAATTATAGTTTGCACTCTGAACGGATCACGGGTTAACTCGTTCTGTGCTCAGATTATATTTAATCTGTTGTAGTAAGTTAAAACGGTGGTTTCTATTGACGTGTAAAATATCGATAATACGTTGCGATCAATAATATCCATTAATATATTGTTCAGTTTCGTTTAAAATGCCTAAAACGAAGAACACGCAATTATTGTTATTACTCAATAATATTGTATATTTATCAATAAATATCAAAATAATTTTGGTTGTTTTAATAAATTGAACAGGTCTACGTCCCACAAACGATCAATATTATTGTCTATATCAAATACTAATCAATATAATTTACCGTACATGGACCGGTTTAAATGTAGAAACCAAAAATGTGTTGATAATTAATACATTAGATCAACGGTGCCCTAAGGGCACTGCGAACACTTTCTAAGGGCACTGTGGTCTATGGTTCATACAAATAGTTTAAAATGTTTAGATTTTTTTTCTTTATTGTTTTCGTAAAAACTTTATAGCAAATAATGAAATATTTTCTATTGTATATTCGGACATTCTCATTTTAATCTTTTAATATTTTTATGTAATAATTATAATAATGATAACAATAATTTTATTTATTTAATTTTTATGTTGTCTTTTTATGTTATTCACACAGCCGAGCACCGTGGCTAAATTGAATCCAAAAAAATGCACCGTGGAAAAAGTTTGGGAACCGCTGCATTAGGTCATAAACATAAGTACATTATCTAAGGTTAATACAATATTTTCAATTTAGCGCGAATATAATATATTCCAAAGATAATTCTACTTATATTGTCTTTGGTAATTCTAACTTAGCTCTTTCTCTCTCACACATATCTTTGATTCGCTTATCTCTGTCTATGCGCGGTTCATAATTTATACGTCCACGTTCCCGACCGAAGCACGGAATAAAGCCACTCGACATAAAATCACATGATAACGAAAAAAAGCCACAATACACCATCTTCATAATCCGACAAAATGCCACTCGCCAAAAAACCATCGTACTACACTACCAACCTTATAATTGGGTACGATAATTCTCAATTATTTTTGTATTTATTTTGACAAAAAGTCGCCGAAATGAATTATATTTTAGCGCTACATTTGAAATACTAGTTATAAAATTGTTTCGTATACTTCGTAAATCGTATATAGCACTCATATTAAACTATATTTATAGTTATAGTTATAAACTGGTTATAACTAGTTACCGTTCCCGACCAACCCTATAACCCATTACCTAGTTCAAGGTTATACCGAAACGTCACAGCGTGGTTGAGCACCAAAAGGTTTTTAGATTATAATCTATACACCTCGGTTGCGGACATAGATTAGTATGGACTACAAGTATGGAATTGGCGCCAAAACGTTCGGTCGGCACGGCTCGGCTGCCCTCGAAACCCGGCGAGCAGCGACGATCGTTCATTTGTTCGCGATTTCACTACCCTAGAATTCACCTGTGCATTTCCCTCGTGATCACGTGCGATTGAAATTAATTAAACTTTTGAATAGTTCCGCTGAGAATTTCTTTTGTTTGTTGACTCGGATGAGACAAGCGACGTTTTTTACGATACGTTGGTGGTGACCATGTCGAAAAATACGCTTTTTAATTACTTCTCTCGGTCGCCTGCGGCTGCTTCCAACGGGGCGTCCAATACGAGCGGGTCGTCCAGCAGCGCGACACCGTCAAAACGCCAGTCGTCCAAGCAGAATTCAGCGACTCCCAAGAGAACACCCAAGTCGGTCAACAAAAGCGCCAAAAAGGATACGGTCAGCAATAGTTCAAAAAAAACCACAGAAAAAAGAAAACCAAAAAAACTTGGCAAGTATTTATTCAATAGCACCGTTGAAAACAATAACTTTCCACCCCTGTAGTGACGAGTAACTTAAATTTTACCTATCGTTTCAACTAATAATTGCCGTCCTTCGAATAATTGCTTTTTCTATTTTTCATTTTGTATGGTTATTATGTTTTCATTCTTAAACATTTCACTGTTTGCCTAGTGGAAAATGTTGATTTCAAATGTAATGTTTAATTTGAATCTTTTGATCAAAAATAGTTGAAAATTTTATTTCATCAAAAAAAAAAAAAAAGGTTGTTGATGATCTAATACAAATCAAATCATCAAATTAATCATAACTTTCTTCTATTTTGGCATAGTTTTACTTTACAATTATACAATTTATCTTTCTAAATTAATTGAACTACTGAAGTAATTTCCATTTGAATATGAATTAAAGCATTCAACATTTATTTAACTAATAGTGTTGTTTTGAATTTTGATTTAGTTGGATGGTAACTAAATGACTAAACTTTACTCTTCTTGCAAAAAATTAAAGAAATTAAAGTTTTTAATTAAAATTATGATTGCCTTCAATTGGTATCCATCAAACTTGTTTCTTATTGGTTAAAAAGTAAAAAATAAATATAAAATAAAATTTATAGAATTGTGTTTCGTTTAATTTTCTTTAGAAGAATCCTTTGAAGACGATCAAAATGATGAAGTGATGCCTGTAAAAAAACGTCCCAGGCTTGCATTAGAAGAATTGAGTGATATTGAAGACGATTCTGGTGATGAATATGTGCCAGGTACTACTTTAAAATATTATGTTTGAATTATGTGTTAAAATATGCAGTAGATAATCAAAAATGTTTTTATTTGTACTAAGTGCCCAAAAGATTTTATTATTGTGTTGATAAAATTATTATATTGTATTTAGATAAAAAACTTTTGAATAAATCTGATATTGAATCTGAATCTGAAGAAAGCCCTGCATCATCATCTGAATCAGAAGACAGTCCTGAACCATCTGATGATTCATTTATTGATGATGGATCTGATGAAGATGTGTCCCCAGTAAAAGTATAAAAAAACTGTTATTTAAATAATTACTATCATTTAATGTTTTTAAAATTATAATTATAGAAAAAAAGAGGTAAAAGTTCCAAATCTGTTGAAACTAATGGAAAAGCTAACTCTTCTATTTTAAATAAATCTGCTGCAGACAAACCTACAAAAGAAGTAAAATTATAAATTTTATTAAGAAAACTATAAAATCAATTATATTTTAAATGTAAATTGTTTACAGGCAACCAAATGTATTATTGATCATGATAATTGGCCCCATTTAAAATACGAGTTTTTGAAACCTGATAAAATTAAGGATGCCAATAAGAAATCACCATCTGATCCTAATTATAATCCTCGAACATTATATGTACCAGAAGATTTTAAGCAAAAATTAACTCCAGTAAAATATTTGTTTATCATCAGTGCATATTTTTTTAATAAGTGTAAACATTTTATTATTTTTTATTTAGGGTGTTCGACAATGGTGGGAATTAAAATCACAATATTTTGACTGTATATTATTTTTCAAAGTTGGGAAGTTTTATGAAATGTATCATATGGATGCTGTTACCACTGCTAAAGAATTAAATCTTTTATATATGAGGGTAATTATATTTGAATTGTAAAAGTTCACTCACTATTTATTTTAAAATTATATCCTAAATAGCATAAAATTTAAGTATTGGTAACTGATATTTTATATTATTAATTAATTATACATATTATCATCAATAATGGAAATCAATTAATGTTAACATATCCCAAAACATAACTATAATGTTTTTAGCAATAGCATAATTAATTAGTCGTTATTGATAAATATTACCTAAATAAACATGGTGGAAAAAATAAATTTAAAACTTATTGATTATACTAATATTATTAAATAAATCTTCATTAAAATATACTATTTTGACAATTTTATTACTATCGATTATTTCTTTGTATATTATTTTCTTAAATTAAGTATTAAAGTATTAATCCCATAGAAACAGTTGAACCATAAAGTCAAATCAAATAGTATCTAAAATCGTCTTTTGGTACTTTTTTAAGGAACTCTACGTTTTAATTTATTATATGCCATAAATGAAAAAATATTGATAAAATTATATTTTATTTGAATATAATTACAATTTTTGTATATATTTAAAATATGAGCTTGTAATTTGTCTATATCCATACAAAATATGTAAAATTGGCCTATAAAATACGAAAAAAATAATTATTTACTATTTAAATTTATATAATATACAAAAACATGATATTCTTATTTTAGTTTCCTGCTAACAGTATCAATGCTTAATGCATTTCATCATTGCCTAAACTTTTTCACTAATAATTTTATATGTTGTACTTGAAATACCTATACCAATTAAAAATAAATTATAATTATATATTTTTATTATATTAATTAATTAATTTAGGGAGAATTTGCTCATGTAGGATTCCCAGAAACTGCTTATGGTCGATTTTCAGCAATTTTAGTTGAAAAAGGATATAAAGTTGCACGTATTGAACAGACTGAAACACCAGATATGATGGCCGAAAGATGTAAAACTTGTAAGTTTATAATATTAAATTGTATTTTATATTATAGTTTCATAATACAATAACTAATGAAGATTTATATATTTAGTAAAAAAAACAACAAAATTTGATAAGGTTGTTCGGCGTGAAATTTGTCGTATCACTTCCAAAGGTACTAGAACTTTTGGTATAATTGATGGTGAAACTAAGGATGCTGAACATTTCTTTTTAATAGCAATATCTGAAAAAGTATATTTTTATTGTTAAATTTTATTGAATTATTAGTTAGTTTTATTATTATTAATATTATTATTAGGAAATTACCAATTCAACTTCATTATATGGTGTATGCTTCATTGACACATCTATTGGTCTTTTTCATCTTGGACAGTTTGAAGATGACTGTCACTGCTCACGTTTAAGAACTTTATGTGCTCATTTTCCTCCAGTACAAGTAAATTAACCAACTTAGTATTTTTATTTTTTTTTAAATATTAATGTATAATAATACAGTTTTAAATTGTGTTGATTAATTAATAAATTACTTAACTAGCTTATAATTTTTATTATGTGATTTCAGGTATTGACTGAACGTAACAAACTTACAATGCGTACTAAAAAAGTCATCGATACTATGCTCTCTAACGCTGTTAAAGAAACACTTATGCCCGATACAGAATTTTGGACATCATCAAAAACTTTACTTACTTTAGCGGAAGGAGATTATTTTAAAAATAATGATGTTGTGACTTATCCAGAGAAGTTGAAAATATTTTTAGGCAGTGGTAAGTATAATAAAACCTAATGTATTACCAAATATTTAAAATTATTATAAATACATTATAAATTATTATATTTAACACGTTGACTGCCACAAGCCCGCCGGCAACCCAAGTGATGTCTTTTATTGTGAAGCCATTTGGGTCGCCGGCGACCTAAATCATATTATTAATGTGACGCCACTTGGGTCGCGGGCTGCCAAATTTATCATCAACATTAAATGTATCTAGTTCTTTACGGCTTGGAGAGAACAATATTTAGATTGGATCATGGCGTAGACAAGACGATTTTGATCATTTTTTAAAAAAAAAAAAAATAAAATCCTTCAACTTTAAGATTTAGGTCGCCGGCGACCCAAATGGCTTCACAATAAAAGACATCACTTGGGTCGCCGGCGGGCTTGTGGCAGTCAACGTGTTAAAATTATATTTATTATTGATGACAGTGTATAATGTATTAAGTTTATAATTAAATTAACATCGTGTAAAATATATTTTTGATTTATAAAGTATATTGTGCTCCATCCAAAAGTTTCTTAAAGCACCTAATATAAAGCCATAACACTTTCATCATTATCTTCATGTTCACTTAATGTTGGTATAGACAACCGATTTTGGAATACAAAAAAAATGATCAAAATTGTCATATACTGTACCGCTTAATCTTGAGATCACTGAGATAATTATTTAAAAAATATATTGATATGTTTGCTTCTTAATGATATATTTTCTTAAAGAATTTCTTTTATAAATGTTAAAAGAATTAAAATCGATAGTAGTGCATTTGTGTTAAATATATATTTTATATTTTTTCAGATTCTGATCTACAGCTTAGTGCTAATGATAAATGTGAACTTGGTATTCGTAGTCTGGGTGCTGTTATATGGTACTTAAAGCGATGTAAGATGGATTTTCACTTATTATCTAGAGGACGATTTGATATTTTTAAACCAGTTGATGTTGAATGTACTGATATATCTAATCAAGATAATTTAAATACTAAACATATGGTGATTAAAATTCAATATTAATTATCCTTCAATAAATTTATTACTAAATATGCCTCACATCTTAATTAATTTAAAATTAATTATTTAATTTTTTAATTTTTAGATACTTGATGCTATTACATTGAAGAACTTGCACATTTTAGAAAACTCTACTGGTTCAAATGTAGGAACTTTACTTAACAAATTAAATCATTGCTCTACACCATTTGGAAAACGGTACAATTATTATTCTGTACATATAAATATAGAATAATTATTTTAGTAATGTAATCACTATAAAAATTTTACTTTAGATTACTGCATCAATGGCTATGTAATCCATTAACAACAATATCTAGTATTGTTGCTAGACAAAATGCTATTTCTTCTTTAATAGTTGTTCCTGATTTAATGCAAGAAATACGATCAGAACTAGCCAATTTACCTGATTTGGAACGTTTATTTTCAAGGTAAATTATTACTAATAGATGATTTTTTTATAAAGAATGTACTTGAACTATACATTTCTATTTGGTATTTATCATTTTTAGAATTTATTCTCAAAGTACTAATGGAGTTGAAGCAGATCATGCAGAAACTAGAGCTATATATTTTGAAGAAAAGGTATATTCGAAAAGAAAAATAGTTGATTTTATTACAATATTAAAAGGTTTCAGAACAAGTGTTAAAGTTATGGAAATACTACAAAGTAAAGTTAATTAGCCAAAATGTATATACTTTAATTAATAAATAAAAAAAACATCTTATTATAGAAGCTAACCTTGCTGAAGGTACAGAATCAAATCTATTAACTACTATTTGCAACTATTCAAATAGTTCTACACCTGGAGAATTTCCATATTTGACAGAACTTTTGGATAATTTTGAGGTAACTGTACTGATATTCTTTATTTTTAATCAGTTATTAACACTTCTTCTCCCAACTATTTTTTAATTAATTAATAACACACTTAATAAAAAAAAACTTAAAAGAAACAACTAGTATTTTTAATTCTTTTTTTGCTAATGTGCATTTTTGTAAAGTAATTTTAATACTTGAGTTAAAAAATGAAGTATAGCATTAAATTATCTTGTAAAATATATATTCCTTAAACCAAGACTTCTCCCGTTAAATATTTTATATAATGAATGTAAAATTTTAAATATTAAATACAATGAATAGCAAAACTCATGGTTATATTCAAAACTTGGATTTTATAGCACTAAAAAATACTGAAATATTCCTTATAACATAACCAAAGAAACTTTGAAATATATCTTTTATTAATATGCTCTAAAAACATTAAATATAGCAAAAAAAAAAATAAAGTTATAAACGTTACCTAATGAAACGTAGAACTGACTGAAAGTGATAAATATTTACTCGTAAATAGGTCAATAGTATATTCTACAATACCTACATTACCTAAATTAAGAACTGCTTTTTGTCAATCAGGACAATATTTTGTATTCTTTCATTTTTCTTTTAAATATAATATATGTATTCAGGAATTTAGTAATTTTAGTTAAAGATTATACTAGTGTCTATAGGTTTAATTAATATTTGAATTTGTTATCACATACTTGCGATTAATTATATTAAATATATATTTTATCTACTTTTATCAATTATTCATTATTTTATAGCATTGTACAAAATAATTTATTATTATTATTATGCTTAACTTTTAATAAACATATGATTATACTTGTATTGTACTTGTATTTTCACCTCCAACACGGCCTTTTGCTTTGGAGGTAATTCAAAAACGTTATGTTATTGTTATACATTTTGTAAATATTACTCGTTGGATTAATTATTATTAATTATTATTATTCTAAAATGTCTTCGTTTTAAAAACTTTGCAATATTTGTATATGTGTATATATATATATCTGTTGTAGAATTCTTTTGATCACAATGAAGCTATGAAAAATGGTCGAATTTTGCCTGGACCCGGAATGGATGATGAGTATGACAAAGTTATAGAAAATATTAAAGAAGTTGAGATTGAATTAAAATCTTATTTAAAAGAACAATGCAAATATTTTGGATGTAATGTAAGTTGTACTATTTGTTAATGTATATAATTTTTTCCAACTTTTAACAAAATATAATAACATTTTTCTCTCTAATTGAAGGTTCAATATTTTGGAACTGATAAAAAACGATATCAGTTAGAAGTACCTGAAAGTGCGGCAAAAAAAGCTGGAGATGGATATGCAGTTCAGAACCAAAAAAAAGGATTTAAAAGATTCACTACTGATCGTACAAAAGTTTGTAATTTCCATATTACTATTATTTGTGTTATTGACTGAATTTATTCTATAGGAACTTTTAAATAAAATGCTCAGTCATGAAAATGAAAAAACAGAAGTGTTAAAGAATATTCGAGAAAGAGTGTTCTCACGATTTTGTGATAAGTTTGATGATTGGAACAGTGCCATTCAGTGTTTAGCTACATTAGATGTATTCATGTCATTAGCAGAATACTGCCGTTGTGAAGAAGAAGTTATGTGTATTCCTAAATTTGTTCCAGCTATTAAAGGCAAAAAGGTTAGTAGTGTAAAAAAAATGACATTTTGATACTTGAGAATTTTTATTTAACTGGTGTTTATTTTATATCTAGCCATTTGTTGACCTTGTTGATGGACGGTATCCATGTGGTTCTGGTGGTGAGAGTTTTATTTCAAATGATACAGTTATCGGAAAAGAAGAAGATAAAACATGGAATGCAAGTTTGATATTAGTTACTGGTCCTAACATGGGTGGCAAGTCTACATTGATGAGACAACTTGGCATTATTTCTGTTATGGCTCATATGGTAAACAATAAACCATTTATGATAGAAAATAATAGTTGAAGTGTAAAAACACGTGACAATATTCAGGAGATATAAGCATAAATTAATAATTCTTATGTAAATTAATATTTATCATAACCAATACGAACATATTTATTTAATGGCAACTTAACTCCCTTAATGTATAGTTTTTATTCTATTTAATTTTTGCGTAAAATTATATTTAATAAATAATGGTATACCAATAAATATATCATAGTTTAGCAACTTTATTGATCATTACTTTTTTTTAGGGTTGCCATGTACCTGCCAAAAGTTTTGTTCTTAATCCAATAGACAGGATATTCACAAGAATTGGTGCCAATGATAATATTATTGCAGGAGAATCCACATTTTTTGTTGAATTGTGTGAAACTGCAGCAATTTTGCATCATGCTAGTCGGTTTTCTCTAGTATTAATTGATGAATTGGGTTAGTTATTTTTAATTTCGGTTAAAAATGTATTTTTATTTAATGACTTCATGTTTTGATTTTTACTATATTATTGGCATAATTATTTTATTTAACAGGAAGGGGAACTTCTACTTATGATGGGACTGCAATTGCTTCTGCTGTTGTTAGTGAACTGATACTCAAGCAAAGTCGTACATTATTTTCTACTCACTATCACTCGCTAGTTGAAGATTTTAAAACTAATTCAATGGTTGCTCTTGGACACATGGTAAGAAATTAAAAAATATTTCTTAATATTACTTTTTTTTACATTTTAATCTATTTTTTATTCAGGCATGTATGGTTGAAAATGACGAAACTAATGAATTGGATACTGAGCAAACACAAGAAACTATTACATTCTTGTATAAGTTTGTAAATGGAGCTTGCCCTAAATCTTATGGATTTAATGCTGCTCGTTTAGCTGGAATGCCTGCTAACATTATCAAAATTGGTTTACAGAGAGCCAAAGAATTTGAAATTGCTGCCAAGCGTAGGATCCTATTTAAAACACTGTTTACGTCTAATGATCAATCAGCTGTGAAAACTGCTATTTTAGCTTTATAAGACAGACTCTTGCACAAGTTCCTAGAATATAAATATTTTCAGAAAGTACCTTTATACAGATAATTTCATTAATTGAGTTCATGTTAATTTTTTTTGTATTTTTTGTCATAATTCCTCATTTATTATACTTCAGGTTAATTTGTATTTTATTTATTAAAGAAAAATATTGAGTTAAGATATTATTTTATTCATTTGAAGTAATGATTTTCTAATGATCTTGTCGATTGGGTCCCGGACATTCTCCTTTTAAATCTTCTTCGTCAGTGTATACTGTTCCACAATAAACACAATAATTATAAGTATGCCTCAAATAAAAAATTACAAGCTCTAATTGTTCAGATATCGACATATTATCTTGTTCTTGTTCTTCAATACTCTCTTCATTGGTATCATCTTCCAAAAGAACTTCAGGCCAAAAGAACTTTTCTGATGGCTCTTGTATATCCTTTAAAATAAAATATTAAAGTATAATAAAAGATAGTTTACATATAATTGACATAATTAAAAAATTGAATACAATTAAGAACTTTAGTATTTGAATTGGAAAACAAGAAAATCATTTTTCAATTAATCAATGTACGAGTGAATGTAGATTGCAGATGAAAACTGTTATATGTCATTGTCATGTTCTCATTAATTTTAATTGTTTAAAAATAACTATCGGAAACGTCAATTATTGTTGATGTACCTGTTCTAAATCCAATTGACGGCACACTCGTTGACATCTGAACAAGTCGGACCTATCCAATTTTTCAGCAGCTTCTTGCGCTTGCCTCTCCCTGAACTTGCACACGCTTGGCCCGGCCGATTTTCGGCTGCGTATCATAGATTTTTTCCGTTCTCTGATCTCCTTGAGCGCGGCATCACGACCCAGACCCTTGCGGTCGGTTTTCAGTACAATCCCAATAGGTTCCACTCTGCCCGAATCTGTCACAGAATCGTATGAAGAACGAAAAAAGAAAAAAACAAACACCGTCCATCACGAACAAGGTCACTCACTGTTTTTGCCGATACCCGATCCGGGCTTGTAACCCATTTTCTGCAGCAAAGCGAAACCCTTGTTGCCACTGTCTATGGCCGTCTCCAGCCCCGCTTGACGTCCCTGCTCCTCCAGAACTTTTAGGCCGGGCGTTCGGTTCAGCAGTTCGTACTCCTTCCGTTTTTTCAGTTGATCGTGCAAGCGCTGCTGCTCGTGCGTCATCAGCAGACCCGGACGGACATCCGCGACGGTCCTGCCATGGGGATGGCGAACGGGTAAGTGATTAATTAATTAGCAACACCGTCGTACGTACTCGGTGCGGAGAAAAGCGTCGGACATGTAATCGTCGTCGTCGTCTTCCACCTCGTCACGGGCGGCCATCGCGTTCGGCCGTGCACCTGTGCGCCGTTCGTCAGGCGGATGTTCCTGGACGGTCGGAGCACGCGACAGGAACAGAAACAAGACCGCGAAAAACCCGTTCGGCGTTCGAAATTCAAAACCGTTATCACACAGCCACACGTCTTTATCACGGATCTAGCCAACGGATGGAGGGGGGAACGCGCACTTGATAACAGCCGGTAGTTGTACCATTGATTAAATATACAATTAATCAATGGTTGTACCCAAAGATATTTTACAGTTCTTATATTATCTATGGTTGTACCTGGTACTAGAAATGGAAAGTTTAGTTCATTTCTGTGAATAGTTCATTAGTTCACAGTTCATTCAAGTGAATAGTACATGTGAACTATTCTTAAGTTCACGTAGTTCACTAATTTTATTAATCATACTGATATTGTTTGGCAATAAACTATTCATTTTATCACTAATTAGTACAGTAGTACACAGTTCGGTAGTAGTTCACACTACTTATGGGCAATTAAGTATTTGTTATTTAATTGTAAACAATTGTTTAAATTTACCGGATATCAAACAACGAACCACAGAGAATTTTTAATGAAGTTCGCGAACTATTTCATTTCTATAATGGTACCAATTTTTTTCGAACTGTGAACTATTAAGTTACAGGTACTGAAACAGTTCAGAATAGTTTATCAAAGTGAATAGTTCAAATGAACTATTCATTCACGAACTAAACATCTCTACCTGGTACTAGGAAAATGGTATCGAAAAAAAATTATCGATACTTGATCTTCTACTAAAGGCCTTGCCTTGTCGTTACAAATCTGGTTCGTCATTTTTCCCTATTAAAAGCCAGTCTTTTCATGTCTATGTATTGATTACAATCGGATTGTTTTATCATTCCTTCTAATTATGCCTTCCTTGATCTGCCTCTCTCTTTGTAACCATTTATTTATCCTTCAAATATATTTGTCATAAACGGATTATGTCTAAGTAGGTGACCGAACATTTTCCCACTTCTTTCTTTTATGGTGCTTAATAGAATTATTTTTCCCCTTATTTGGTTTAATACATCTACGTTATTTTTCCTTTATGTCCAACTGATTTTCAACAGTCTTTTCCATATCCACATTTCCATGGCTTCCAACTTCTTCTTTTCTTGCCCAATGATGGTCCATGTTCCACAGCCATATAATAATACACTCCACACATAACATTTGGCAAAATTTTTTCTCATATTTATATTAAGATTTTTGTTTGTAAGTAGTTGAAGTTTTTGCGTATATACTCTCTTTGCCATAGCTATTCTTTGTCTGATATCTATTGAGCATTTACCATCGCTTGTAATCGTACTTCCTAAATACTTAAATTGTTGGACTTGCTCTGTTAAGATATTATTTACCTTCAACTTCACTACAGGAATTTCTTTTGCTTTAGTCACCACTATTGCTTTTGTTTTATTTGAATTTATTATCATTTGGTACATATTCTTGTAATATTTTTGTGAGTGTGGTTAGGGATTTTTGCATCTCTTCTTCTATTCAGACACTAAAGCAATATCATCTGCAAATCGTATGCAGTGGATCTTTTCTCCATTTATGCTTATTTCGTTAGAGTTTCTCTTATACTTGTCTATGATTTCTTCTGCGAATAAATTGAATAAGTAAGGAAATAAGGAATAACCTTATCTTACCCCTCTTTTAATTTTTGCTGTGGTACTATGTTCTCCTACTTCTATAAAGGTCTCTTGTTCTTTGTATAGTTACATTATTATTCGTCTGTCTTTCCAATCTATTCGTGTTTTTTTCATAGAGTTCATCAATAGTGCCCAGTTGCAGGGGCGGATAGGGCCGCCGAGATACCAGGATTTTCTCGGTAGGCCACTGCTCATATTGACGAAAATGGGCCGAAGAAAAATATTACTACTAATACTTTTATACATTTACATATATACAAATAAAAATAAATACATATAATACTGATAATATATATATTTAAATCTAGCTTAAATCTATAAATATCATAGTAAATTCCTTTAAAATGAAGAAGAAAAAAAAGTATTTACAGAAGGGTTACATAATTTTAAATGTAATTTTTTTTATGTATTATTTTAATTGAATGATCAAAAATTAAAAATTAAATTTTATTCAAAATTTCGAGTGCAACTTTTTTTCTTTAATGCATATTTTAACATATTAGTGCATACCTATACATGTGCATGTTAAAGATATTTTAGCGCATATTTGATTGGTTTTTAATGCATATAATTCCGTGCTATAATGAATATTCAGATTTAAATTATCATATATAGTCATTAATAAAATCCCACAGCAAAGTTGATTACTGATATATCATGTTTTTCCACAATAATTATACGCGAACCATGTAAATAGTATAATATTGCTAAAATGTTATATAACCAGGTATGCTTCAAAACGAATTAAAAATAAAAGGAGATGCAGAAAATAAAAGAGATAAAAATCGTAGAGTTATTAAAAGAGAGCAAAAACAATAGTAAAATTGAATAGTATAATATATATTATAATTTTAAATATTATTTCAGAACGTCAAAAAAAAAAAAGATGGTGATTGTCGGGTCGGTTCTTTCAAAGTTAGTTAATATACTATAGTTTGGTTTATACATTGAGTATTGAATGCATTTCTGCATTCAGTATGCAGAAATTTCAAAGGGTATCCAGACCCGAAAACCTCCCTTTGAGTAAGCCCTTGATTCATTCCGTTTATAGATCATTTTTTAAATCAATTAAATGAACGATATTTATCTCATAGATCTATAATTGAAAATGTTATCGTTATTTTAAAATCATCCAATAGTATGCAATATGAAGAAAAAATTTAGCAGCTAGTTGAAATGTATTAAGACGATTTATATGAGTACCTATTGCAGTGTGTTAGCAGATGTGAGTGAAATTAAAATTTGGCAACAAAAATTTACCAAAAAATGCTATCGACGCTCTTCAAAAATGTAACATATCAATTTTCTCTACTACTATCAAACTTTTACAGATTTTAGCAATTCTCCCAGTTACAACTGCTAACAGTAAACGATATTTTTTAACATTAAAAAGATTGAAAAAATATTTACGAAACACCACATGTGAAAATAGGTTGAATGGTTTGGCAATGATGAATATTCACAGTGATATAATGATAAACCCTGATGATGTCTTAAATAAATTAGCAACTAAAACAAGAAAACTATGGTTGATGTAAATTTTAATGTAATTAAAATATTGTTTGATTTAAAATGCTTTAAATAAAGTACAAGAAAATTTAAAATAACATGTTTTATGTATACCTACCTATTGTATAGACCTAAACCGTAAGCCCCCCATTAAAAAATCCTGGCTATGCCACTGCCTTGAACACTGTAATTTATTATTATGTCTTATCAGTAACCAGTTGACCGATAATTTTACCGACAAAAGTAGGCAGGTACTTCTTTAAAAAAAAAAAATGTATTTCTACATCGTATTAAATAAAGCTGAATGAAAAAATGTTTTAATTTAATTAAATAATTAAAGCTTCTTTTCTTTTATACTGGACCTAATCGGTAGCACTCGATCAAACCATGAGTTAATTATTTCAGGTAGTAAAGATTCCATATATCAGACCTCAATATTATTATATCTTGCTCGCCTATGCAGATGATATTATTTTATTAGGAGGATCCAGAAACGATATTGAGGAGAGTGAAAGAAAGCTAATAAAATCTAGCTGCAATATGGGACTAGTAATAAACGAAAACAAGACAAAATATATGGTGATGACTAGGAATACAACTGTGAAGGATAAACTATGCATCGAATGTCTCACTTTCGAGCAGATAGAGGACTTTAAATACTTGGGAGTTAACATAAACGGAAAAAATAAAATGCACAATGAAATTAGGATGACGTTTTTTTTTTCATCACAAAACTTATTATTCATTTTTATTTTTTATTTTTCGTAAAATTCGGGTTTTTTAGCATTAAACAAAGATTGATTCTTTTAAACATTGTAAAAGGGGCTAGACAGCGCTACGGTGACGTCAATGATTTTTGGCGCAGCTCGTGGAAGTTCTGTCGAAAAGGTTCACCAGTTAATGGTCTAATCATCTAGTACAACCCTTCTTCCAATCGCCATCATCGCGACGGACCGTTCTGCTGTTGAAGCGGCACCGGCGTGCATTGCCGCTGTTTCGCTCGTCGGACGTGGCCTCGGCCACGGGAATGCTCACCGCGGTGGCGGGTGTGCACCGTTTGCACCATTGCCACGGTCCGAAGTCGTAACTGCAATGATCGTACTTCGTGTACTCTGCAGCGGCGGGGGCGGGGACGGGGCCGATGCGTCTTTTGGCCCCGGGAGCGCGGCATGGTGGCCGTGGGGCGTAGCGAACCGGTTGTTGACTGATGGCCGCGACCGCGGATTTCCGTACCCGGCGTTCCCGGTTACGCAACATCCGCTGCCGCGTTCTCTTGTCTGCCGGCGGCTTGGCCCACGCGACGTCGATGCGCACGCCCGAAGCCACGTCTCTGAAACAATTCAGCGCGTCCATGGCCGACTGCGCGTCCTCGCGCCGCTCAAAATGCACGAACGCGTAGTTCTTCGAGTACTTCACGCGCTCCACGACCCCGTACCGACCGAACACCTTGGCCAGCACGCGCTCGTCCAGCACGCCGCCGTACTGCTTGACGAACAGTACGCGCACCGTGGCCATCGTGACCGCGTCCACCTGCGGTTCCGGGTCCGCCCAGTCCACGGTCGTCTTACACCCGAACACCTTTTGCTGCGACAGCGTCCGCTTGGCGTCCGCGGCCTCGGCTACCGACCCGTAATCCAGGAAGCAGAAGCCCCGATGCATCGACGGGTCATCGTAGTTCTTGTACGTGATCACACGCACCAGATGACCACGCGTTATTCGGCTCACTTCGTCGAATATCTCCTTTTCTGTCTTTACCTTCGGCAGGTTGCCCACGAACAACCTGCACTTTTGGCTGTCGTCCTTGGTGGTCGAAGTACTCTCCGAACGGTTCATCATCGCGATTCTATCGAGTGGTATGATCAACCGAAGTTCTTGAACGTGCGTGATGGCGTCGCGATTTCCTAATCGTTTCTTGAGCGTTTTTATTTTTATTATCTTCCTGTCCTCAGTGTTTCTGTTATGTTGTCTTGTTAACAACGAGCGTTCGATTAATATTTCGTAATTGTTTTACACTCGTTGAAAAACACTCGCTATGGGTAATTTTATATTGATTTTGTATACATAGCCAGCTGGCTATTTTACATAGCAGTAATCTAAAATATAACAATTATTTATATGTTCGAATTTAAACGTATTGCTTTCTGTATTTATTTCAGGTTTTATAGTAGACAAAATATTCAAAGATATCGAATTTTCGACATCGAAAATTACGTACTAAATTATTGTGAAAATAAATTCCTAAATATCCCCCACAGTCCGGTGACACGCACGCCATTGTTGTCTATATTTAAATTAGACCAGCGTTTCCAAACCTATGGGTAGCAAAATATTTTTTATGAGTCTCTGTTCGTAAACTAATTACAAGAAAAATATCTTAGTTATCAAAATATATGTATATATATAAGAATTCAGTCTTGCAGTACTGCGTTAATGTACATGGTGAAAAACTATTTGTAATAAAATGATTAATTATATTATTATATTAAAGCGTACTAAGTTTTTTGTTTTTTCGAAGGTCGTCTACCCAACACAAAGAATATTTATGGGCCGCCTTAGCATAAAGTTTAGAAACACTGATCTAGACGACACGATTATCTTAACTCTAGACATTGAGAGGTTTGTACTGAATAAAAAGTAGTTGTAATTTGTGGAATTCACCATTGTTCGGACCTTAAATGTAATTGATTAAAACGTAGGAATAAAGTTTTGTATATTGTGTAATTAATATTCAATTCTTTTAATTTTTACGGATTCTCAATAATATCTGAAAAGCTTCAACCTGAAACCGAATATGTTTACAGGGGAAATTAAAATCACCATTACCACCTGTTAAAACTATAAAAATACTATTATTGTAATTATTATTGTTCTATTTTTTTCGAGTAATACGCAAAGCAAAAATAACAATAGTTATTATTTGCAACAGCACCAGCATTTCATATAATAAGATTAAATTATAATTTTCACTTAAATATTACTATTTATTATTCTAAATACATATGCAATTAATAATAAAAAAGGAATTAGAATTAACGCGTAAGAAATTCCACACAAAAGCAGCAGCATTTATAACATATTGATATAACTGCGATTATCTTAAGTACTTTTTAAATTCTGTACTATATTGACATTTTGTTTTGGTTTTGAACACTGTTTTAACGCACGTAGGCACTTTGGTCAGTCAATATTAAATAACAAATAAGTATATAATTATGGATAATATGATATAGAATTAAGCCGTTAATATAAAAAAATCTACTATAAGTTCACGCTTTTAACAATTATTAGATTCTATTTTTAAGTAATAACTTTATAAAATTAAAATTAATTTAAAATGTATAATATAAAATAAGTTATGAAACATAGATAATTAAATAACAATATAAGCTTAAAATTAATTTTATGTAAAAATGAAAAATCACTCGTGAATATTTTAAAAATCAAAACCGTTGTTTAAGCGACAATTTTCAACAAAATTTTCTTGTAATCTCCAGAAGTATCACCCTGAAAATCAAAAACCGTTTATAAAACTATTTAATTTTCAAACTAAATGATATTTAAGAAAAAAAAAAAAAACTCACGGTGATCCACGACTCCAAACTTTTACCGTATTTCTTCTCGAAAGCTACTTTTATATCTCCAAGATCAATTTCCGATCTGGAAACCACGATTCTTATTAGTGTTCGGTCGTCCGTTCCCAAACCAACCATACTCTTGTGTAAGCGCTCCGCGAAAAAGTTGACTTTGCTCTTAATACATTTTACTGAAAATTCAATGTAAAATAATAATAATGAAAACAAGCCGAAAACATACAAATGTAATTTCACTCTGTATATTAATATATAGTTGTGCGTGCACACGAGTATTCTTTTACTCCATAGACTTTAATGTAGATAGCCTGTAATACTTATGTTTTTTTCTATTTTATCATATTACATTTCATGCAACAGACTTATCAGAACGTTTAAAATCATTATTATTTTATCTGCAATACGCTGTATAGGTACATTTTTTAATTATTTCATACCTAGGATTAAATATAAAATTAAAATAAGAGCGGTGGCAATATACATTTTTATCATTAACCATAACGTTTTTAAACTAACCTAAGCTTTTTATCAGTATTTTAAAATCAATAACAATACGATTTCGATTTGATAAATCGACCGTTTCCGCACGGAGGAAAATATGTACTTATAATGTGTACACGACCATGTTTTAGAAAAAAGAATTTAAAAAAAAATTCCTGAAATCCAATTAATCCATAAAATCAACGATAATATTAAAATTTCATACACATACGACTAGGAATATACGAAAAATGTATCACACGTACCGATAGACAATAGACCCATAGATATATCACCGGAAAATTCGCTTTTGATTGACTCTTCGATATCCTTGGAAGCTATTTTCTCGTATTCCAAAAAGACACGTCTCAAGTGCTGATAACTTTTGGTTACCAAAATCCTGTGGAATTCCGATTCGTCCGTGCCCCATTTGATTTTTTCTCCTGCGTTATACAAAGTCTCAGCGTCTAAACGCGCAGCAGCCTCGTCTACTACTGGCGATTCATCTCGATTTCCCTGTATATTTATAAAAGTTTTGAATTAGAAAACACAACAACAATTAAAAAAATTCTAAAATTAATTTTTTTACTATTCTGTTACTGGTTTACATTATTTGTTGTAAATATTATCAGTTAATCTAAAATTATAACTTTTTTAAATTCTATTTATTTATTAAGCTTTTCTTTTTTTTTTTTTTTTTGTTACCTCAAGATTATTTCTTATGTGTATTTTAAAATCATCATATAAAACAAAATTTTGAAAAATATTATTATTATTTTATCTTAATTAATTATAAATGTAGAGACAGCAAGCTTTAAAAACTACCGAAACAGCGTGCGGACAATACCCTTGACTCCGCGCCCACACGCAAGACCGACGTTTAGGTTTGTTACTGTAGTAGACGAATATGTCGTGTCACATATAGTAATAGTCGTAATAGGTAACGCGTCTTCGAATGTGTAGTATAATCATTTGCTGCCGGAATCATTAGTCTCAGTCTCGCATTGTTTCGACTCACTCCCTTTTGTCATTCGGACCCAATGTGTTTATAAAACCGTCAGAACTATGAAGTGGGTGATTCATCGAAGTTATTGTTTGAATTGCATAGATAATAGTTTAGTAAATAATTAATTGCGTTGAGCTGAAAAAAATATTTCAATGTCTATCCAACTCCACAGTTTTCAAAACACGTCAAATAATTTTTATACCGTTGATAACCATCAATATTTATATTTATTATTCATACTAGTGTTAAACGTAATCGTTTCCTCCGTCAGTATATAATAAGTAATTTTACGTGTAATAAACGAACGATCAAATTGTTCAGCAGTCATAATATAACTGCACGGCGTACTATAATATCGGTACGAGCTGCAACGGAAATTAAAAATATAATGTTCATTAATTACAGGCGTTCCTGGTTGCACTGCAGTTATCACTTAACGTTCAAGTCGTATTACATAAACATCAGACACAACTATGAGTTCTTACCATACTTAAGGATACGCAAAGACGTTTGAAATGACCCGACGTGTCTCCTTTGATGTCCTTCTCGAGATTGTGGCCGTACACTGAAACAGAGTAACAATTTACATTACTCATATAAAATACAGATGTTGGTAAACGTTAGTATTGGGTAGTATAATACAATATGTTGACATTTGACCGCTGTCGACGGTATTTAAAAAATATAAATGCAATTCATAACAGCATATCACAGTCTCGGCTGATGTTGATAATAATATAATAATATGATACGATGATTTTCGAGATCATTTTTAAACACCCACGTGATTATTTAAATATACATGATTATATAGTTGTAACAGTAGCTTAACTGTAGTCAGTAAGATTGAGTGTACATCATCGACAAGCGATAGATTCGTATCACGATACTTTTCATTCCAGAAATGTCCCAACATGCCGTCGATGGAAATGCAGGAATGACGATGGTAAGGCGGGGAAATAGCTGTTTGAAATTCTTCGGTCTATTTTAGCTTTATATATTATGCGTACGCATGTACACAACATGAGTACACGTGTCCAACCAGTGTATTATTAGGAATATAACGAATCGAGTGTATGATCCGCAAACTGGCAATCTCATACACACGAACACGACCGCCAAAGAATATAACAGTAGTATTCTAAAAACGATTTCCAATAAAGATTCGAAGCCGATGGACAATTTATTATTCGTTTACGCATCCAGGATGATAGGGGGGGGGGCGTGATGGCGCAACATCTATTGGAAGAATTTATTTTTTGTACAAACCTTTTACAAGATAGATATTAATAGACGCGTGTAAATTAATAATAATCGAATCCAACAATAATCACATGATCTGTAGGATTTATATGAATTTGCATTAGTGTCAAAGTACATATGCATGTGTACATAAATATTATGTTTACCTATGAATAACAATTATGTTTTTTTACCGATTATACAAGAAAACATTAAAGGTACTCCTATAAAAGTCAAATTTATTTTATCGGGTTATATTAAGACACGTATTTCAATAAGAATCCTAATCGTAATAGTATTTGTAATTTCTTCGTTATTTTATTCAAATTTTTATATAAAAGTTGATACATATATATTTATAGACAATCAAGAATAATATGCGTTTTATTTAAAAAAATATTAGTTATTTTGTGGTTATCTATAAATGAACAGTGAAGTAATTTGATTGAGGAGAAGGAGGAAAGAATGAGGCGAACGAACCTAAGTTTTACAAGATAACCCACCAATTTTCTTTAATATCTACATAATTTTATGCAATATTTTTCACTTTTGTGATTATTTCATGACACCATATTATTATAGTTGACTTTGTTGTGTACTGTTATATCGTTCAACATTTCCATTTATTAATCGTCAATAATTTTGTATAAAATAGACCAGCGATTCCTAACCTTTTTAGTAGTGAGGACCACCAATTTCGAAAAAAAATCTTTGAGGCCCACCAATAGTTTTTTAAATATATAATTTAAATTATATTTAAATATATATATATATATATATATATATATAATGTGCATATACTTCAGTTATTACAATTTATTTATTAAAAAACAAATTTTTATCAAAAAAAAAAAAACTTCACTGAAACAGATTATTCCAGAGTTTACCAAGAGTTTTTTTGTGATTTTTGAAATTGCTTGTCCCCCATGAAAGAATTAATGTCTGGATTAAAACTGAAAAGTTTTAGTTTTAAATCACTTTCAAAATTTAATTTATTCCTATATTTATTTAAAAATGAAAGCAGGAAAAGGTAGCTTGTAAAGATACACAGGTTGTCGAAATAAAGCCCATCAAGTTTCTATGTGCAATTTTAGGAATTGCTGGATAGCTTTGCCGAATATTTAACCAAAATGGTAATAATGGTGTTGTTTTAAAAAACAATTTCAGAATCTGATCACATAAACGTTCAATCAAAAAATCTTCTTCACTTGCTGATATTTAATATTTTAAAAATATACGTTAGGAATGTTAATATTGGTTCACGACCCAATATCACTCTGCTCATGACCTGTAGGTTGAGAACCGCTGAAATAGACATTGGGCTGAGTGCGAATGATTAATTTTTTTCTTGCATATTTTTATTTTTTTCAGTAAATTTTTACATGCATATTTTATAATGTAAAATTCATATAAATTCGGTCTTTAATGATAAGTAATAACCATTGACAAATATATCTACTTTTGATTATATACTGATTTGACAGCTGCATTATTAGTTTATTTTTAGAGTACAAATATTTGTTTAGTCGTCAATTCATATCTCAGTACATATATATATTGGTAGTTAATATTTACTTTTAAAAATATGTTTTGGACTTTCAGCTGTAGTGTGGAATGCGATTAACATAATATGACACTATTAAAATCGCGTTTAACTACATATATTTAGTGATAAATTTTAACACAATATCACGTTTCACCGCACGTGTATGTAGTCACACCGGATGTTATATTTCACGTACGAAAGTTTCCACTCGATGCGAAGCAGAAAAAAATTCAAAGGTTGAGTTGGGAAGTAAGATTTATCTTTCAATGTCTTTATTCAATTTAGTTTGTTAACAAGAATACTATATTTAATACATAATAAATAAAAATAATGAAGGCATTTTTTTTAGTTGTATTTTTAATAAAAATATTTGCATTATTGCCATGGTACTGAATATAAATAATCATTTTCGTCACTTCCATGCATAATCCATGTTCTTAAGGCCAATTATTTTCATTTTTGATCACCCCTCTCTCTTCCTATCCATATAATAAATAAGCCGTGAAACGTTACAGGTATGTACATCAAAATAAAATGCTGTACACATTTCGCATATAAGAATCGTAGAGGAGCGGTCTTTCGTTTAATCGTCCAAATCCCAATGGGTAATGTGACATCATTATATCACAATATTACGATTTCCGGTGTTATAACGCTTTTATCTATACGCATAGCTCAGATATGACGAACACGAGCATATTCGTTAATACTTTTGTTTATTACCGAGCTTGATAACACCAGTTTTGCATATATTGAAGAAAACTGGTTTTAATTGAAATATATGTATATATATATTTTTATTTTGGTTTATTTTTCTTATTTATTTTACTATTATTTTGAGAATTATTAGTTGATGAGTCGTCTGTTGAAAACGTTTGTTCATAGGATATAATATATGATATTGTTCGATGAAAAGGAATCGTTCAACACTATAAGTCGTGGCTAATAAATTCAATAAAACCAATAAATCATCAAACATTGTCAAAAGTCAACGAAAATTTGACACACGAAATCGTCAAAAAACGCGAACGATAAATTACATTATAATATGTTTGTATATATATATTTATACAAACTTTATATTTTGTTTATAATAATACGATTTAATTGTGGCTGTATCCAAAAATGAGATACCGTTTTTCTTCAACAAGGAATTATGAATAAAAATAGGTAATGTTTATTTTCTATACAAATTGAATGATTCATAAACATTTACTTAAAAAAAAAAAAAACATTTAGATACTTACATTTTTTTTAAGATTATAAAACATTTCTGCAACGAATACTTGTTTAAAGAAATAAATATTAAACAAATGAATACCTAATTATTTTCCTTTTTTATTTCCAAGAAATGTTGTCGTTTTGCAATTTATAAATATATACTGCGTATAACAATCGTTAAAAAACATCATAATGATGGGTGATAACATTATGTGTACATACGTTTATGTACGTATCTTTATTAAGCTTCATTAAAACAGTTACGTTACGATATTATTGACTGCTACTTTCACTTTGAAATACGGTATAGAAGACTACAACACTAGTGCCGACTAAATATTTCATTATTTTGAGGAAAACTGTAACTCTTTTTTGGAGGGAAATGAGCCCACCCTTATTATTAAAATTATACTAATACATTTATAGATTAATTCATGCATTTTGGTGAGTATTTTTGTAATAATATTAACTATACAAAAAATATCCGGAAAAGCTAGTTGATAATCTCAGTAAGTATTTATTTCTCCGTACAAATATAACATACAATTATTTTTTAAAACATTTTTATGAACATTTTTAACCAATTTTTTAAACTATATAATGCATGGACGTCTGAATCATTTTAAGGTCATGAATTCATAAAGTATTTAATTACAAAGGTAAATTTATAAATTATTTAACATTACTATTCTTTAAATTAGACTATACATTAAGGCAAAACTCCAACGGTCCTCCTCGTACTCGTTATAATTATTTAAACGCAGTTTTACAGCAAGGTCAAGATTTGAGAACACTATATTTTAACAATGAATAATATAAAATGTAAAAGAAAAAAACGAATACTTGAAAGTATTTCGCATTAATTAGTTCTCATCGAGAAGTAATGTTCAGAAGTAAAACTATTTGTTATCATCATTCTTCTTCGAGGATAAAAATATCTGCACATTGAGATAATAATGTTTGAAATAAATATTTCCCTTTTTATAACTTTATAAAATAATGATAAACAACAAGAGCCAGAGTTTTGTACCGCTGCCATATATTTTATGTTATTATAATATTGAGAAATGTAAATATTAAATTAATATTCATCATATTTTAAATCCCATACATAACAATTCAAAACAATTTCTTGGATAAATACAATATTTAGTCATAGTAAATAGGTGTTGATTGGTTGTTCGTTATAAAATGTAAAAACGTGTACAACGGATACATTTTTTTCTTCAATGTGTAAATACTAACCTAATGAGGATTTTATGAATGTGTGTTTAATACCGGTGTATAAGTTGATCACAATAAATTTATATGAGAATTTTTAATCCTGTTAAAAATACCAATCATATTTTAAAAAAATATACAACTTTAAAATATAATTATGTATTCTTGTTAGGTTGGGCAATAACGTTTAAAGTTTTTCAAAATAATATTTGAAAAAATAACTAGGAATAAATGAGTGTGTGTATCCGTATATGTATATCATACTGTATCAGTAAATTGGAGTTACACGAGCAGTCTCGTTTTGTCTCATGAGAGTACAATTAATAACATTCCATAACAATGATACATCATCAATAACAAATCTAGAGTTCGACTAAAGGCGGTGAATGTTTTAACAAATATTTTTACTATGAATTGCACATGCTTTGTACCACAGTTGACCAAATGAGTGGACAGAAAATATTGTAAATATAAAAGTATTTATTGGCGTTTTTAATAAAAATGTTGTGTTCAATTTCATCACGAAATTTGCGGACAATCTTTGCAAAAAAAATTCCTCTAAAATACCTAACAAGTGAATATATTTTACAGTTTATTTAAAAACTCCGATTAATACAGGCCGAGTAATATATTTGCACCTTAAGTTTACGAAAAATAATATTGTAAAATATAAATGAGAACATATCGTTTAAAATCAATATAGATATATTAAATTATTATTTAATCTAAATTTCTATAATTAAAATTAATAATTAATAATTAATAAATTAATAATGTCAATAAGGTTAATTGATTTATTAAACATTGTTATTGAGAGCTTAAGTAAAATAATAATGCATAAAATGTTGAAAATATTACGGTTAGACTCATACGTCACATTATTGATTGATTTGGCATCAATGAAAATAAAATATTTAGCGACGTGATTATTAAGAAGAAGGGTCACGGAAATTATAATGTATTATATGAGTACATGGGTAAATATCAAAGATAATAATTACATTTTATTATTTTTTTCTGTAGTTAACCAATAATTACTACAACCTTTGAAAAATTGTAGACACAACACCGACCACATTTATAGTAATCAATGTTTATAATATTAAACAAATTATGGTACGGCTCATGTGTGTGTATTCAAGGTACATTTAAAAGCGTATATTTTCAACAAAAATGGACTAAACCGTTGAAAATAGGTCAAGAGCATTGGATTTGGTGTGAAATATTACATAAAAATCATTGTTGATGTTCAGAAAAAATAACTAACAAATTTCCAAAATCGACTCAGAAACTCGGGAGTGCAAGTAAAATAGATAGATAATAAGTATAATAGGTTTATGGTTTTAAGTGGATTAAAATGTCCGTAAACAACTATTATATACACGATAAAACTAATAAAGATTTAGTGTTAAACAGAACAGTAATCCACTGTACTACTATAATTACTATAATTAGTTAATGTGGTACATCACATTTTTTAATCACGACTGTGTACATTAAAAAACATGATTTATAGTGGTAAAAGCAGGAGTGGCCATTTTTTCGTTCCTGGATCCTCGCATTGTCGCTCGTTTCGAAATGTAGATAGATAATTTACGACTCGTCGTAGTCCCAATGTCGTAAAAGTGTGTAATAAAAAAAATAAAAATAAAAATAAAAAAATAAATAGAAAGATGAACCACCATTCGGTTCACATTGTTTTACGTAAAATAAAAATTTTAATCAATTTATTATTTTCTAGGTAAGAGTATGTATGACATAAAAAACTAAACACACTTATCGAATTCCTTATACCCGTATGATAATATGTAAAAATGTTCAATGTAAAGTGTGCATAAATATCATTTAATAATATATTTATAGAGCCCATAAAAATTAAGAAATAAATTAAGAATCTATAATGAGTCAGTCAATAACAATTGGATACATGTATATTATATTTTCCCCTTCCCATTTAGCTATCATATATGTAATTATAATAATATATCCGATTATTCAAAGTGCTTACTTTTTTCGTAACAATCGGCGACCGTCCGCACACCGAAATTGCTCAAGGTGCCCAATATCTCAACAAGCACTTCTTCGTTGGTGCCTATCCCGGAGATGGCGTCGTGTAACTCCTTTGCGTACAGCTCCGGAAGTGGCGTCATCAGAGCCAACACGGTGTCCTCGAAATGTCCGCTCAGTTCGTTTTTCAATTCTTTTTTCAATTCCTAAACAACGCGTTTTTATCATCACCAAAATATAAACAAGTAGTTCGTTATAAGTATATACTTTAATCGTGTCGTAAAACTAATACTATAACTACATAAACATTGGACGCCCTCGTATAATATTGTATAAATATTAATAATAATATTGTATATTCAAAATGTTATATAAAGTTACATAACATTATATAAAGTTGAAACTTTATAACGGAAAAAAAAATGAAAACAAATAAACGAAATCAATAAACGAAAAACGAAAAATGTCGAATAACATTAAAAATAATATATAATCATAATAATAATCATAATTAATGATTAAATATAAACAATAAACGTATTTGTAACGTAGAAAAAATTACAAATAACGTTATTCGGAAAAACGTTTGTTTTTTTTTACTTTGAACTCAACATATTTTTTTTTCAAATCTTATAGTTGTGAACAATTCAAAGTTGGCTAACCTGTGTTGACAATAATTTATATTTTCCGAATTAGTTTATTGAAGGTTTGTTTATAAATATTGAATTTATTACTTAATAAGAAAATAGATACCTATTAAAACAAAATGTCCATTTATCTTCGATATAATTGGTGTAAAAATGCGAGCGTGTTATTTGGAGTATTATTCAATGTAAGTAATTTGAAGTTGCTAGTCAGTTGTAGATATTTTGTCGTGAATTGCTACCTTTCGTCATTGATTAAATATACATACGAATAATTACAATAAAAAAAAAAAAAAATAAAAATAATAATATACATATATTTAATATATTTTGTATATTTAATCAATGCTTTCGTTTATGATTTATATTAAATGTTTAAATACCTACTTTATAGTTTATTTTGAACAATATTTTTTTTAGAATTGGCCAATAGATTATTTCATAATTGGTAAGTGTCTATATTACACACTTATATTATTTAAAATTATTTAAATTCATTATCTAAAATTATTATTATCTACGTTTCTTAGGTAACGTATTACGAAAGATTATAGAAATAAATATTGGGCATAAAATATGGGCAGGATCAAATCCCATCCTAGGAATGTATTTTTTTTATGATTTTTCAAGTAATAGATTTACCTTTTTTCGCGACAAAATGTAGCTTAAACCTTCCCCTAGGTCTAATCTGCCTTTGTATCGAATTTCATCGCAATCGGATGAACGGTTTAGGAATGCATAATGGACATATACACTTTTTTTGTCTTTTATATATAATATATACGTTTAACGAAAAACGAAAAATAAAATAACGTTTATAAATGTAATAACGTTAAACAGAAAAAATTAAATAACGTTTCAACGTACTATAACGTTAAACATTAAAATTGTATAACGTTTCAAAGTACAATAACGTTAAAAATTGTATAACGTTTAAATACCCAAAAACGGAAAAATGGAATTCTTTTTAGAATTTAAGTCCTGCATTATATTATATCATATTATATTAAACGAGCTGATCACTTGAAAAATAAAAAAAATCCAGTAACAGACACAGAAAAATAATGTACAAAATGACAAAATATTATAACATTAAAAACCATTACCTAAATAAATTAATAATATAAACTTTATGAGAACAGAGGCCAATAACCAATTTGAATACAAATATATTTCGATAACGATATTATTTTCTCTCACCTTTCCATACATCGTCTTGAACGCCTCCGCGATTTCGATGCGTTGCACAATGCCACGGCTGGCAATGATGTCGATTATGATTTTCTGATCGCACCCGAAACCTTTCATGGCCTTTTTCAGCGCTGTCGCGTCTTCTTTTGCATCGAAATTTGGTGCCGCGAACACGGTAGGAGTGCACTATACAAAAAACACACGATTTCTATAAGTAATAATTTGTAATCCTGTCTTGGTTTAACTTGAAATATTAGCAAATATAAATCGACCGGAAAAGAAAAGTTAACTCGAATTTAGAAAAACATTATATACTATTTTATAGATCCCATCTACGTACTATATAGGTACACACATGTATAATATATCGGTGGCTTCTTGTTGAAACGCGTAGGATATATGTGATTTATGAATTAGAATTCGTGTCAATCGATATCATCTAATTCAATTATATTTATATTTTCACATTATCCGAATCCAATCTTATAATTATAACGTGGTGCGTACGTTCCGCCGACGACTACTAGTGTTTTATCAAATAATTTAAAGCTGTTCGTACATTCTAGGTTGGTGCCGAGATCATGAAAATTTTAACTATCGTATTGTTACCGCTTAATGGGCATTTTTGATGGAGTAGCGATTTTCTATTTTTTTTCGGATGACAATAGGTAAGCCTAAGCACGATTTGTCCAAAACGAATTAGTAAATTAAAACAATTTGATTGATTCATGCACACCACTCGTAAGACTACAAATATTCTCGTATAATTTATAACAATCGTGAGAAGGCGGTTCGGAATATACATTATATTACGTATAACTGTATGCATTAAGTAATTATCAATCTAGAATATTATGTATTCATGATTTAGAACTCCCATTGTTTTCACGAAACTAAATAAAGTGATCGGTGATAGTTATGTGCCACGCTTTCCGAAGGTCTGTAGAATTTTTTTCGACAGCATAACCAACATTTATACATTTGAATTCCTTAACTAGCTTAAGTATATAATGTATCTATATTTATTACATTATATATCTTATTATGTACGTTTATAATATACCTATATTTAACGTATGATGTATTCGTACAAAAACAACTCATCTTCAGGATACTGCTATCGTTTTTATCGTATTGTTCAATTCAATTTCTATAGTGTATATTAATTAATTAATGACTGTTACGACAAATATGACTCAATATTAGTGTAAACTGTAAGCTGAGCAAGCATCTACGAATATCTATAGTTTTATATATATATAGACAACATTATTATAAACTAAACACTCAATTCTATTCTTATTTATTAAATCGATTAGACGTTTATAGACTTTAACTACTTATCATTGTTATTCACTATACAATATAATCTGTCTTTCTGTAATTCATTTAGTAATTATTATATTGACTGTTCATTTTATAATTATTTCTATTTAATACAAAAAAAAAAAATCGTTATAAAATCAAAAACAATTTCCAAAGTCATTAAACTATGAAATATTCATGTTGTTGTTTCGTTGATGCATCAATAAATGTGATACTGAATCGTATAACAATTGATTTTGGACATTTTTTTTTTTTTTTAAAACCCAATTAATGAATAAAGAAGTTCGAAAGTACACAGTAATTATTACCTGTTTAGCTATTCGAATTGTAGTAAAAATGCAACTATGAATAAATATAACAATACGAATCTAAAAATAAGTTAAAACGAATAACATTGATTTCTTGAAAATAATGTTTTTCCGTTCTCTTACATGAAAATAATTCGAGAACAACATTAAATCGATATATATATATATATATATATACATTTATATATAAAACGTTGAAAAATATTAAATTGACGTGAGAAAATCAATTTCGCTCTGTCGATGGTGTAGAAGAAAATAATGTTTTTTCTATTGTACGATATAATACTGCTATCGTGATTTATTCGAGAAAGTTATGGAAGTTTCAAATCGGGAGCGAGGAAGTGAAGACAAATATTTTACAAATACGAAAAGACGTGTCAAATCGCGTAGGCACTTCAACAGGTATTAAGTGTACCTCCTACTCAGCGCGACCAAAATTTCGTCCGAACATTCAAAATAAATATACATTGCACTAGAAACAAGGTGTACATAGTAGTGTATGAGTAATTCAACAGGTCTTACGATATTATTCAGGGTGATTCTTAAAGAGTGAATCGCGAAGGAAATACGAATAATTTGTTTTTACTGTTCGGATTTAACTCACAAGAATGAAGAAACAGAATATGAAAAGTTCATTTAAAAATCTTACACGATTTTCAAAATCACTCTTCTTGTTTTCCTGAACACGTATCATATCATATCAAATATATTATACATAATCGTGCCGAATCACGATGAAAAAATCTATTTGCACGTTGTTGTTAAAAAATGTTCGTCTCGCGAAAAACGAAAACATAAAACAATAATTCATCACTTTCTAACCATTCGCCGTAGTTATACAACGATGGAAATGTGTGAACGCACTGTCCCCAGAATCGAGTCAAACGTGAAATGATCTCTTTCTACAAAACGTTTTCACACGAACCTCGTTGGTTCGTTTAAACTTAACCGGGTAACCGTAAGACGAGTACGTTTTTATGGTCATCGGACGTTACGTTGCATTGGATTCGATTTCAACGACAACAACAAAACAACTACATTACAGTCAGGGGCGGAACTAGAAGGTGTAATTTTTGTAACTATTAACAACTAATTTGATATTTTTAACTTCGTTGAATACCGATATTACGTTAAAACTCAATAAGTACGATTTTATATATTAATCGTTAGAAAAAAATTTTTCCAAAAGAGTATTTCATTATTGGTCGTATTATAGGGCGTGATTTAACATTTTCCCCGGGCGTAAAAATTCCTAGTTCCACCTCCGATACTATGTGGCACGATCCGCTAAACGATGCATGTACGCTGTTACGCTTACCTTCGAGTTGACGTAACTGGCCATGATGACGTCGGTTCGATGTTGCGGGAGACTTGAACGGACCGCGGGAGGAAACACCGGTGAGAGTGAAGACAACAAACGCGCGGAGTATTAATCTCGCGATCCCGGAATTCACGCGGACGTCGCGACTATCTTACGTGTGAACCGGTCGGCGAACGGCGTACTGACTGACCGATATCAACGCCGAGCGCGCGGCCGCAGAAACAGTCGGGGCGAGCGCGCGCGAACGTACGCGATGACATCACGTACGCTACGTGCCGCCGTCGTCATTATTATTATTATTATTATTACTTTCAATCGGCGTTTTTGTAGTGTTTTCACCGTTCCAAGGACGAGAACGAACCTGCCGCTCCGGGACGACTGCACATCATTATTATTGCGACCGGGTAGGTTTATACACGACCGCTGCGGTTGAAATATTATTTTTTACACGACGAGGTAAAAAAAAAAAAAAAATACCGTCCCGGTGTGCATCGATTACGCGAACGCGATAAAATCGAAATTTATTCAAGATCGTCGTGCGATATTACAACATTTGTATTTCGTAAAACCCTGAGCTCGTTCGAACGGAGTTTTTCGCTCGTATTCGGTCGAGTATAATATCTATGCGTGTACCATAATGATTTCGTTTTCGCGGTTTTTCGAACGTACCGTCTGCGGTGTTTTTGCGTTCTCCGAATGTAAACCAAACGTTGCTTTTGACGGTCAGCGGAGTTGAATCTTTCAGATTCAATTTTGCTTCGTATCTCACCTGCTGTTCCGCACGTTCGTCGACACGTGTTAAGGCAAACAAATCCGAAGAAAAGCATTCTTTTGGTTTTACTTACGGTATGTTGTCCAACTTGTACTGCAGCTCGCATTTGAAATGTTAAAAGTTTTATCCACAAACATTACCCGAGTAGAGGAATTCTACAACAGGTGTTCTTTTTTTCAATACGTTTTCAACCCAACTGTAGTCCACATCATCATTTGTCGTGCCTACTTTAAACCCGTAATTTATTATTTTCCAACACCATGCTACATCGTCCCGGTCCCGTACAGTGGTGGTCGTACCGTCGTCGTCACCCTTATAGTTAAACTCGACGGCAACGGTCGTTCCGTAAATAAATTTTATTTAAAAATTATATTTTTTACACGTTCTAAGGTCCTCGTGTCCATTATGGTATATTTTACATACACATTATTTCGCATGCATTGACCGCGGGTTAATCACACATGCTCGAAAAAGTATATACTTGAACACGCGTTTCGGTAATGATATACTATGTATATTATGCCGTACAATGTGCTTCAGTAGTATAACATTATTATTATAAGTGCAACACTATTATTGTTATTATTATACGTCATATTGTCACGCGACGAGGATAATTATTATTAAGTATTTTTGAAACGGTGCGTGCGAGTTATTAACGGTATTATAATATACACAAAGTTCTGGTTTTATTTCTGTACGTTAGAATCATTCGTTTCCAAAATTAAAATAGGCCGCGTTTGTTAACCGATACGGACCGCACGTGAGAGAGAAAGTTTGCATAGCGAACATTATTATACCGCGGCAAACATAGTATTTATAATAATAGTATAGTTGCCGCAAACTACCGTGTCGAAAAGGACTATCTGTTGGTCGATAAGTACATATATGTATTAGCCCGCCATACAAGAGTGGATTTTATGACCGATCTAGAGGATTTAATCCGTTAAACAAGAGCTTTGGTTTTGCCCATAAACGTAAAAATAAAAGTCCACTTTTTTTTTATAATCCAGCGGACTTGATTAGAAGAAATCCGTTTATACTGAGGATCAAATCCTCTGATCTTTCAAGACGTTTTGAAGGATCTGTGGATTTATATGACAGGTTACAACTGATTTATCAATTTTTATTGTTATGTTATGAATTTGCGTTAAGTAAATGTTATTTTATACTTCTTCTTCTTGTGGATTACGGCCTTCAAGACCATCCCTGCAAACAAATTTGCCACTATCTTTCCCTATTCTCGGCAGCTTCTCTTCACTGTGTATTTGGTTCTACTGCTTTAACATCCTTTTTGATACGATCCTCCCATCGCAAACGCGGTCTTCCTAACGGTCTTTTCCCAGTCAGATTTTCTTTAATAACCGCCTTAACGTAAGAGCCCTCTTTCCTCCAGGCATGTCCAGCCCACATTAATCTTCTCCTATTAATTTCGGATATAATATCTGGTTTTTGAAACAAGTTCTTCAGTTCATCATTGTGGCGTATCCTCCATTCTTCAGTGTCAAAATCGATATATGGTCCATAGATTCTTTTTAGAATTTTTCGTTCAAACACCGCAAGTCTTGTTTCCTCTACCTTTCTCAGTGTCCACGTCTCAGAGCCATATAAAACTACTGGTCTTATCAGGGTCATGTACAATTGTATTTTTCATTTTGTCGACAAGATTTTTGACCTAAACATACTCCCTAAGCCAAAAAAGCACCTATTTCACACTAGAATCCTAGTGTCCACCTCCATCTTAAGGTCGCTATCTTGTATTATTATAGATCCTAGGTATTTAAAATGTGACACTCTCTTAAACTTATGGTGATCTATTTCCATAAACTCTCCTTGAAGGTATTCTTTACTTCTTCTTCCAGTTATGACATACTCCGTTTTTTTGTCATTGATCTTTAGACCACATTTGCCTACTACATTTATTAGTTTTCTACAATTCTGTTTTACAGTATTTAAATTATTTCTTAAAAGGGCTAAGTCATCGGCATATGCTAGTAAACCTATTGTCGTGTTACCCATCGCAACCCCGTCAATAGTATTTAATTCCCTGACAATTTTTTCAAGCACTAGATTAAAGAGGACGGGAGAAAGAGCGTCTCCTTGTCTTAAGCCCGTAGATACTCTGTCTCTGATACTACATTCGCCATTTAAATTTTTATCGAAGTGTTTTCAAGACTTTTATACTCATACTTTATAATAATGAAAAAATAATGAATAAAAGTTGTTTGTTTATTACTTATTCGTATTTTGTTGTTAATTATGTTTCTTTATTTAATATATTTTAAGTACAGAAATAAATAATACACAACATGGTTTTTGTAATAGTCTGTATTAAATCACATTATTTTATATATACATGCTTAACCTATAAAAGTGAGTCTTATCACTTATGTCTCATCACACATGCTTTTTTTTTTTAACAACAAAAAATATAAATATACATAAGAACATAATATTAATAACCCTATTAATAATCAAAACAAAATATTATTATTACATTTTTTTTTTTAACATAAAATATCAATACATGTAAGAATATAATATTGATTACAGTAAAATAAATTAATAAAAATAAATAACAATAAGAATAATATTGATACATTTCTTCAGTAATAATAATTTTAATAATTTTAACTCCCCCATTTTTTAAATTATTTGAACCATATCTATCAGGAGCCCATTTTTTTCTTTATGATTTCCTAAATAATTTTCCTCCTTCTTTTCATTGTGTTTCCTTAATTTCATCCTCTTTATCTAGCCTTTGAAAAGTTTTTACCTTTTTTAAAAAATATCATTTTTTCTTACAACTCTATTATTTTTATCCATTTTAACTAAGTAAGACCTTAGTGGTAAAATACTTTGACTATACTTCTTTCATTCCACAATTTACTTTTTACATCTCGAATTCATACCTTTTCTCCTGTCATAAATTCTGTATTATTATTTAAACTTATCTTCTTGTAATACTCTGTTATTTTATTCTTTCTTTTCATAACTAATTTATATGCATCATCACACAATATTTTTGGTTTTAAATCTTCCGTTTTATATGTTTTTCTGGTTTTCAATCTCCTGCTCATTAGTATTTGCGCTGGTGAACAATTTAACCGTACTACTACTACTACTTATTATTGTAATTTAATTTAAATAGTTCAAAGTCCACAATATCATAAATTTTTAAATTTCTTTAATAATAACTACTAACCTTTACACTATGACTATTATTTTTTGGATAATTTGGTGATGAAGTTGTAAACGTAAAATTCCACTCTTTAGAAAATTGTATACACTCATATGAGTTAAATTGTGGCAGTTAAGTGGCATATTATCTACAGCCACTATTTCTGGTATACCATGAATACTAAATATTTTTTTAAGTTAACTAATACATTCCACTGAAGTTTTATTTTTTAATATTTCTACTTCCAACCATTTTGAAAATTAATCGACCACTATAAAAAATTGTTTCCTGCATACTCAGCAATATCAATACCTACTTCAATAAACAATATTTCAGGTATATAATGATTGATCAATGATTTCTTTATTTGTGATTTTCAGTATGTATTACATGTTTTACATTGCTCTATAAACGACTTTAACTCGGATGTTATTTCTGGCCAATAAAACAATTCCCTAGCTATTATATATTATATCTCGAATTGATTAAGTTCAAGGTAAACGAATAGTATTCAAGCGAGTACCAGGATCGATTCAATCTGATTTATACTATTATATTTTCTTTACGGATGGTTCCACGCTGCAATTAGCGAAGATGGCTTGGGCACGGAGATGGGAAGTGGTACAGTGAAGCCTGTAGACAAACTTTCTTCGCAGATGATATTCCTACACTCCAAATACAGAACATAATGAAAGACATAAAGGTCCTTACGAGTTATATTGTAAAAAAGACACATAGTATATAATCAATATTAGAACAACTATTATAGAAACCAGGAGCGTGCTCACGGGGGAGGTGGTTATGGGGTTCAAACTCCTCCGACTGACCGGACAATAATTATGCATTAGGAAATATAAAATGTGCACTCGAGGAATAAAACGAAATTTATTTTGCTGAAGGTATTTAATAAAATAATACACGTATTATTTAATAACGTGAAATTATTAGCTAGTCGAGCTTGACATCGACTACAGTCGTCTGTCGCATTCACAGATAAAATCTATTATCATGTAAGTGCGGCTTTTACGCGTCGTCTATCGTCATTGGCGTCGAATGTGTTAAAAATAGATGTCGACAGCAGACGCGTCAAGTTTTGAATATTTTTGTTTACAAACGCACATTAAACGAGTAAACACACAGATCACAGCCTATTTCAATCATGCATTCTTTCTCAACAGCACTAACTATTGCTTGGCAACGCAACACTTGTCAGCTGTCAACTGCGCGTTCAAGCCTAAAATTTTCCAGAAGATCCTAGGACACAGGATAGCAAAGCTCCCTGACATGAGGTGTGAAGGACAAACAAGTCGCGACAGTAGATGCGTCCATACAAATGGTGGACTACAAAGAGAGCGTTACCCCCGCACAAGTTATACGAAAGAGCGTGTGTTGTATGTACGAAAATTGGGTAACGGCAACCCGCAAGGATGAGAGTCACCACCAAGTATTCGCTACCATACAAGAACACCATATGATAAAGCAGGGATTGTGCCCGTACAAGAGTGATTCCCTCCCCTATTAATCCCCCCAAAAGGCTAGGTGCGAGTTTAAATACGTCCAGAAAACATGCGCCACGCTGAATTATTGCGTAGCTGAGCAAGCCAACATAATCAAAAGTAACACAGATAGGATTGCGTGTGACCGAGCTGAGGTGCAGTAGAACTGCATGTACGCAGACGGTTTATGTAATAATTTGTATGGTTGGGCCATGTCTCAATATATATCGTGTGGAGGTTTCGAGTGGGTAGAACCTACATTAAATAGATTGAATGAATTGACGGACATATCTATGATAGGTCGCATATACGGGATGGATATTATTTATTCTCAACGCATACACGATAAACACCGGGACTTACCGTTTCTACCGAACAACACTGTACCGGTTAGGTTCAAAAGTTCAGAAATTTATGGCTACGTTAGAGCCTAAGAAAAATTATATTATACACTACCGTCACCTACAACCATAGCACATTTAATACATTTTTATTATTTTATATGTACATAGAGTTATGCAATTCCAACAGTCACTATGGTAAGCCAAATATATTAATTTAAATATAGAGATGAGGAAGAAGACTGTGAATGATTTTAAAAAAAATTTCTATAAATTAATGAACAACGCTGTATTCGGTACGTTTTTATTATTATTTATAGGAAAAACGATGGAAAACATGAGAAAGAGGATAAAAATGGAACTTATCTATAGCGAACGACGTAAACAGAAATTAATAAACCAACTTATGTTCAAGTATACAATATCAAGTAATGTAAACTTGTGTACAGTTTCATTAGATAATAAAATGATTGAATTTTGTAAACCAATCTATATAGGTATATATATCTTCAGTGTGTCCAAGTTATAATGCAGAGTATTTTCGTCTGATATTTTTTTTGCTTTGACTAATTCAACTATAAGCATGCCTTCGGAAGTCATGGCTTCGACTGTTGCAATATGTATTAGTGATGTACTAAAAAAAATTGATTTTTCAAAAAATCGATTTTTTCAAATCGAAAAATCGATTGTTTTGGACCGATTCAATTCAATTTGATAAGAATAGGAAATTTTTTTTCCTGTTTATCGTTACTGGCGACTGCCGATTGCCGACCATCGTACATATTTGGACCTAGAAGTTGGCCACCCTGCATAACTATCGCAGTTTCAATTTTCGTTCGTGAGACATGAATACATTTTTCGTTGATCGTTCTTCCATTTTTTGTTCTCGTAGAGACTGTAGAGTCTAGACATCGTATACTCTCAGCGTACTGCTGTAGATCGTTGTTTCGTAGTTCATACGTCTTAAACTGTTTTTTCGTTTGGTGAATGGCGAATTAACTTTATTATCCACATTAATCTGTAAAATCCGTATGGCTTATTCTGTGTTTTATAATTTATATTAATATACCTTTAATTGCGTTTCGCATTTGCGTTGTACGTTGCTAAAATTTTTTATTTATTTTAATAATTGTATATAAAATAAAATCTGTCGACCACGTCAAAATATCGTCAAAGCAATCAACTCCTAGAAGTTCCATTTGGAGCTTTTTCGAAAAAACCTCAAATCCCGAAGTCGTAACGTGTAAAATATGTGAAGCTCCCGTGAGACCATGTGACAACACCACCAACGTACGCAACCACATTAAGCGTTAACATGGTTCAGTGAAGATTGGCTCGACGAACATCTATGTCATCCACACATTCTTTAGTTTCAACTAGTTCAACAACAAACTGTGGTGATGATATTGACGATCCCGTTGCATATTTAGGCGATTTAGCTCAAACCATTGTAAATAAGGTAAAATACTAAAATGCACAATTACTAATATTGTGCTTAAAGCTTAAACCAATTTTTTTTTTTTTTTTAATATAGGCTCAATTATCGCAAACTTAATTAAACTTTGTTGCTGTTGAATCTTCAACTAGTTCAACTTCGTCTGGCATCGTTCATAACGATTCATTCCGTAGTAGATCCGTTACATCAACACCGACAACATCATCAAATAATCAGTTTATGTGCTTAAGGTAACGTACAATGTTTAAGTCAATATCAGGCATCAAATCATATGACAGTAAGAGTAAATTTTTTAATTCATAACTATAAAAGTATAACAAATGGTCTAAATTGTTTTAGAAGGAGGATCTAAGACACAATCAATCACCAACGTGCTAGTGTACATGATGGCGAAAGACAACATGCCATTATTTACCACTGAAAAAGGATTTATTTTTTCATGCAAAAGACAGCGCCGATGTACAAAATTCCTTCTAGGAAGACAATGACAAATTTAATAAAAACTAAATAGGGAGTATTATCAGAGTTAGTTAAATCTAAACTTAGGCAAATTGAATTTTTAACTATTACTACAGATATTTGGACAGATACAACATTAAAAGTTTTTTGGGTACGAACGTTCATTTTTTAAATGTTTCTGTTGTTACGGACATACATAAATGTAGGTCTTTACGACTACCAATACAAAGGGGGATAACATAAATCATAAATAATTAGAAATCGGGTGAACAATATAGAAAGGAATAGTTAAGACCCGAGGATAACACGAACATATACTATATATGAGCTGTCAGGTTACATTTTAAAGTATTATAATAAATGCAATGAATAATAGCGCATAACAAAATATGAGAAATGTGCGAATAGATATATAATAATTGGAAATAACTTATCACATAGAAATGCGCGGTCAATTCCCACGAGACCTGAGTATATAAGGGGGGTGAGAATAGAACAATATTGAGATGTGTTTTAGTCCATTCCGAGAGAGCACCTTCACGCCCGTTTTAATTATCAATTCTTGTACTAAGAAATAATTTAAATCTATGAAATATTTTGGACTTAGAATAATTCGTCAATAAATATTAAAATATTCAAAGTCTTTTAATTATTAAATAAACATATCCTCTAACATCTGCTCTTCAACGGTTGAACTGACGGCACGCAATACTGTTATCTTAGATAGTGTGACGATAGGTGTCATAGAGTTTTCTGCCAGCCACACTGCAGATAGTATGAGCAACTTCTTGAGTGGGGTATAAAAAAAGTCAGGTTTTCACTATTGTCACAGATAATGGGGCTAATATTTTATGTGCAGTTAAAAAAACCTTTTCGCAGGAAAAGAATTTGCCATGTTTTGCTCACACGTTAAACTTGATATCTGAACGGGTATTGGTAAATCTTTCTGGTGTACAAGATCTCATAAATAAAAGAAACATTTCTTTGACTGCAAGGGCATTTTTTCTACCACGAATTCCTTCCTAGAGGTGAGACAATTAATCGTTTTCGTAACCTTGAAACCTTGAGACATTTACATGAAGCTGTGAGAAACATGAGACCAGAAATGTGGGCAAGCGGGAAATGGGTGCTGCACCACGACAACGCTCCTGTGCATTTTTCGCTCGTCATTTAAAATTTTTGCACCAACAATGCCATGACTGTAATTTCCCAGCCTCCCTATTCACCGAATCTCGCCCTAGCAGACTCACACCTCTCTACGGCCGAAAAAAGCTCGACAAGTGAAATCCAATATCAAGGTCATGCTTACAGTTTTCTTTGACAGCAAGGGCATTTTTTCTACCACGAATTCCTTCCTAGAGGTGAGACAATTAATCGTTTTCGTTACCTTGAAACCTTGAGACATTTACATGATACTGTGAGAAAGAAGAGACCAGAAATGTGGGATTTTAATTCTTCTTCTACTTCTAGTATTTCAAATATCTATTTGTATGGAAATATATCAAGCGATGATGAATATTATAAATTTGTGGAATTAGAGGTAAATATTTTGTATTCATTTTTCAGATATACTTAAATAAAAATATTTTATTTTATTATTATAGAATTAGAAAATACTACCCGAGAGCCAAACTGATGCTACCAGTTTTCCCATAATACATTGTAATGACAATAATTTAATATTATTGGAAAATACAGAGGTAAATATTTTGGATTACTTTTTCAGGTTTAATTAAACAAAAATACTTTTCAAACTTGAATATACAGGACATTGTTTAACTTTTTATTAGGTATATATTGATTGTAATTATTTCATTAATATTAATAATTGTTATAAAGATATTTGTTTAAACGTCAGTATCTACCTATTCAACATTTATCTATTTTATTAGCTATTAAAATATAAATTAAACTAGTTGTATTTTCAACTGTAGATATTTTTGGAAAGTCATAATGAAATCAGTGATAACTATGACAGTGACAAAGATCCTGAATTCCTGTAGAAAATCAAAATATTGAGGAACTATTATTATTAGTGGAAACAGAAGTAAATAGTTATTATATTATTAAACAAAATATTCAAAAGCTTAATCAATATAAAATTGATAATGTATGATCATTGTAATTTACATTTCTGTTTTATGTTATTTAGAACTTAATACTTTTGAAAAATAATTATTAGTTAAATTACTATTCTAAAATAAAATAAAAGTAATGAATAATGATATTGATTAAAGTTTTTGGTCTATAAAAAAATGTATATTATAAAATATTTATTTTATATTTTAGCAGATTCAAACTCAGAGTAAAACAAAATAAAGAAATATAACCCCTAAAGAGAAGTTAACAAGAAAACGGACAAGAAATGAAGGATAATGAATAGATGTAAAGGCAAAAACAAATTTAAACATAGATATTGAGCATTTAAATAGATCAGACAAACTAATAGTAGCCAAAAAAATGGGACCACCATGTAAGTTAAGTTGTAGATTAAAATGTGTAGACAAAGTTAGTGATGAGATCCGGAAAATATTGTTTGCTGGTTATTTGGCGATAGAAGACCACAGTAGGCAGTGGGACTTCATAGCCAGATATGTAAAAGTAAGCAATAAACAAGAAGGATCTGTAATTTCAAGACAATGCTCAAAAAAATATTACTTACCTATACCAAATAATAATACAGAAATTCAAGTATGTAAAACTATGTTCTTAAGAACATTTTCAATATCAGAAAAGGTTGTTCAAACAGTTTGTTTAAAACTTCAAAATTTGCCAGCTTTTATGGCTGATAGAAGAGGTAAACACACAAACAGACCTGCCAGAATTAGTGATGAAGTTAAAGAATGTATAAATGACCATATTTCATCATTTCCAATTGTTGAATCACATTATACTAGAGATCGCACAATGAAAAAATTCTTGGACTCAGATCTTAATATTTCCAAAATGTACCAATATGTTTAAAGAATGGGTGACAGAAAAAATAGTATGTCAAGTTGCCAAAAATGCAACTTTTAGACAATATAGTGACATTTTTAATAATCACAGTAATATCAGATTCTTTAAGCCTAAGAATGATTTATGTGATCAGTGTGAAAAATATAAGCTATCAACAACCGAAGAAAAAGAAGCACAGTAAACAAGATATGACCTGTATTTAATGAATAAAAATATAGTTAGGATAATTAAAAATTCAGATTAGGAACGTACAATACTTGATCCTAAACTGTGTGTAGCATCTTTTAATTTGCAAAAAGTTTTAACTACACCACAAGGAGATACAAGCAGTTTTTATTATAAATTATTATAAAGTTTGCTACCTATAATTTAACCGTATACGACATAGGAAAAAAGTTAGGGTATTGTTTCACATGGAATGAATCTGAGGCCAAAAGGGGTGCAAACAAAATTGCCACTTGCTTGATAAAATGTATGACTTCATTAAAGCAAAAATATGGTACAGCAGAATTTATTTTTTACTCCGACAATTGTGGTGGGCAAAATCGGAATAGATTCATGTTTAGTATGTGGAAGTATGCTTCATTCTCTTTAAAAGTAAAATAACCCATAGATTTCTTGAGAAAGGACATATCCAGACCGAAGGAGATAGTATGCATGCCTGCGTAGAGAAATCAAAAAAGGGAACATTGATTTATGTCCCTTTGTAATGGGTGACGTTAATCAGGTGCGCTTAAGTTATAGGTAATCCATATGTGGTAAACGAAATGGCAAATGAAGAGCTTTTAAACTTTAAACTAATTGTTGAAGACAAATCTTACAATTGGAAATTTGCAGTTGATGGAAGCCTGATTAAATGGAATCAAATCAAAGAGTTAACAGTCACCTCTGAAAAACCATTCATCTTAAATATAAAATAAAATCTTACATTAAATAATTTTATTACAATGGATTTAAAAAATAAAAAGCGAATTGGTAGACATCAGACTCGAAATATACCAACACAAGCTTACAGTGAAAAAATTCCTATAGAAAAAGCAAAGCTCCAAGATATGTTGTCATTGTATGAAATGGGCCTTGTCCCATTAACTTACCATGATTTTTATAAATCTTTTAATTTTAAGTAGTAAGTAATTGTATTCACGGATAACTTTGTTTTAATGTTAAAAGTATTTTTTTTTATAAACAATAATAATAAATTATAATATTATTTTTGTTTTTTTTTTGTAAATTAAATATTGTATTCTAAAAAGTTTTCATTTATTTTTATTTAAGACAATACAATAATTTAATAAAGTATTACATTTTTTTTTTAATAAATAATAATAATTAATGTTCTAAAAGAGTATAAGCACTTTAAATTTCCACAAAAAATATGTAAAATGAGATCTTTTATTTTCCTATGAAAAAAAGTCATAAGTCGAGATACGATTTTAAATATCCGGTGAAAATAGTCGTAAGTTGAGGTACGACTTTAAATTTCTGACGAAAAGAATCGCAAGTCTGAAAAAAATTGTAAGTTTCCAAAAATATTAAAAATGATAATTGTTTAGAAAAATTCAAAAATTCTTTTATTGTCTCATATAGGCTAAATGCATAGTGATTTTCAAAATTATCAAAAAAAAAAAATAGAATTAGATATAAACTTTGATTTTTGTTTGGCTTCTCCTGAACAATTGACAAAATTGAGTTAATACCTTTATCGTTGGATGTATCGATATGTTAAGGGTCCCATACACGGAACGATCTGTCGTCAAACAAAGTTTGATAGACCAAATTGTCACGTGTATGGACGTGTTTGAAAGTTTGCCGTTTAATCGTAGGTCGACAGTTTTAACGTACCAACCGGACGGCCAACTGAACGATAGACGCGGTTTGTGCGTGTATGGAACTGTGACAAAGTGAACTACACAACATTGTTATCACTATTATTATCATTGATTATTATACATTGATTAACACTACATTTTAATTTTTATTCCGAAATCCGAATTGCTTTTGTGTTATACGTACCGCTATAAAATGGATCAAGACAAACCATTTGTGACTGAATTTTTAGAAACTTATAAATGTCATCCAGCTTTGTGGAATACCAAAATTAATCTATCCAAAAATAAACATTTGAGGAATATAGGTATTGAAGATTTGTTAATGGTATGTCAAGAAAAATTTAAAGATGCTAATGCAGCTTTTATAAAACAAAAAATTAACAACCTACGGACTGCATTTAGTAGAGAACTTAACAAAGTTTTGGAATCTAAAACTACCGGTTCATCTACTGATGAAATATACGTACCAACGTTATGGTACTATGACTTATTGTCTTTTACTACAGAAGATGAGAGTGGCAGAATGGGAATATTCAGTTTACATGATGCCACAGAATTTAAAGTGAGTAATCTTTTTAGGATTTACTATTTCATACATATAATATGTGACATATAGTATTATAGAGCAGTTTTTTTTTTTAATATAAAATAAAGCTACCTACTATCTTCCATTAATTATCATAACTAAAGTGATAGTTTTCCTATTTTTTTCAACTGCATCATTTCATTTTTTCTTCTTACTTAAATTTATATAAAAAAAAATTGTTTGTTATTAAAATGTCCTATAAAATAATTGGAAAATGAAGTAGAGTATAGTATTAACAGTTTATACAAGTTCAACTTCAGTCAGCCATTGAACAAAACAAAAAGATACAAAAGAAAATTATTCAAATACTCAATCCAGGAGAACAAATAGCAATCGGAGGTAGTTGGAGCACTGCTATTTTCTTTAAAAGGATAACAGACATCAAAAAAATACCAACTTCTACATCACCATCGCCAACTCTATTACCATGGTTTTTGATTTTTATTGGTATTCATCTTGCTGTTAATGCTTTTGGTGTGGACCATTCTCTTAGTTTAATCCCACAAATTTATGGATAGCATCCTTAGCCTGTAAATATGTCTTTATTTTTTTTATAGAACATATCTTTTCTACAACAGACCTCATTTGTACTAATTGCTTTTATTGTATTAATTCTTTTCACCAAACCTAATTCAACACTAGACTTTAAACTTAAAATTAGAGTCCATTTCTCTTTAATTACCACAAATGCAATCATTGTATTTATATGTTCATTTTTATTAATTATTTTACAGCTTAAATTTATTTTACCTAAAGCATCTATACTTGTTCCTCCAAACACATGTAATTTAATTTTACTTTTTTTTTTCTTCTTTTTGGTTATTTTTATCTTAATAACATAATAGCAATATATTAACGTTAGCACCTGTATCTATTTTAAATGTTACTTTTACATTATCTATTGTCAAATCTTTATACCATGTTTCACTTCTCACAGTTTTTTGATTATCTACTACATCAGTTTTTAAATTATCGATTGAGAAATGTACCTCACTAATTGTCTGTGGTTCATTGTTCCTTACTTTATGTGCTCTTAAGGTTCTACAGCATACTTTAAAATGACCTACCCGATTACAACCATTCTATTTACCATAAGCAGGACAACTTCTCGGACCATGAGTTGTACCACATCTCTTACAGTTAAATTCTTTTCCACTATTCTCTGTTTTTTGTGGTTCATTCTTTTTATATTTAATGTTTTTATCTTGATCATTATTATTTAACCCCTTTTTATTCTTAATATTATTATTATTATTATTATATGTACCTTTTTATTTTATCTTGTCTTCCTTGATATTCCATACTCTGTTTGCTTCAATTGATTGTTCAAGTTCCTTTCTGTTTTGTTCTGCTACCTCCACTGCTCGACAATATTGAATTGTTTTTTCCAGCGATAAGTCTTTCTATAGTAGTCGTTCTTGCACATCTTTGTCTTATATTCCCAACACTACTCTACTTGTCAGTATCCAACCCTTATTACTCTTGAAATCACATTGTTTCACCAATTCTTTTAGGCTAGTAATGAATGAGTCGAATGTTTTATCTTGTTGTTGATTTCTTGTGAAGAACTTGTAGAACGCCATAGCCTCATTTTTTTTTTTTTTTACTACAATATTCTTCAAACTGTTTTAGTATTGTTTCTACTGTATCAGTATCTGCAATGCTTAGAGTGTTATATATTTTCAAAGCCATTGTTACCATTAAATTTAAAAGTCTGGCAACCTGCACCTCATTGTCTTCTTTATTTTTGTTGTATCTTTGTTGTATCGAAGTATGCATTAATTTCTTGTTTGAACAATCGAAAATGTTCATTTATGTTACCATTTAATGTTAGTAGTCCTGGTTTGTTGAATGAATTCGTTTTGACAGTACAGTTGACTAATATCATCTTTTTTTTGATTATATTAATATACTTAATAGTTAGTTAATAATAACCTAACCTTAATAATTAGTTACCATCTCTTCTTCCATTCTGAAGGCATACGTTTTTTTTTTAACCCGACTGCACCATGTTTGTTTATTCGTATTTTCTTGTTAATTATGTTTCTTTATTAATATATTTTAAGTACAGAAATATATAATACACAACATAGTTTTTGAAATAGTCTGTATTAAAACACATTATTTTATATATAAAAATGCTTAACCTATAAAAGTGAGTCTTATCACTTGTCTCACACTAATGTCATATTACGTTTGTGTGATAAGTTAGTGTTTGTGTGACCACAGATTATATGAAAATTTTTCATGGTGGTGTAACTAGTGATGGGAATAATCGAATGATTGTAATAATCGAATGATTAGTAATCGAAACAAAAAATAATCGAATGATTAGTAGTCGAAAAAAAATCGAATAATCAAATGAACTAATAAACTAATAAGTAATAACCCAACGATTTCATTCGAATGAATTATTATTAACTATTACAATTTACATTGCTAGAACCGGTTATAACGCTTGTCGCTTATATAAATAATCGAATGATAATCTATAGACTATAAGTGAAAAATACTGAAATATCAAATATGCAACATTCAAAACTATTTATAGCTTCCTAGTATTAAGTTAGTTATAATTATTATAAATATTTTTTGATGTCTTACATGATAGTAATACACGGTAATTCCTAATTTAAACCAATCGACTGGAATCTAAATGTACAACAAATTAAAATAAACAAACAAATATATTCTTAGTATGGTCTGTTGTATTATTTAATATTTGTTATTCAATCGTGAATTTGATATGCATTGAGCTACACGTTTGTAGTATTGAATTTATATTTTATGACAACGCTAACTGCACATTTTGATCCACTTTTTAAACTTTTATTGTTTTTCATTTAATTATTATAACTTATATTAAGCTTATACCTAATGGCACCTAGTCAAAGGTCTATAGTGTGGGAACATTTTAAGAAAACTTCTGACAAGTGTGTGATTTGCCAAATATGTAAAAGAGAATTTAAATACCACGGAAATACAACTAATTTGAAAGGTACTATTTAAACATTTTTTTTTAAAGTTATCAGTTTTATTATTTATAAGTTATCATTTTTTATTATACACATAGTTCAGCTTCAGATATTAAGGTAGTTTTGGGAGGTCATAATTGAAATAACAAATTTTTAATTTTTACAAAGTTCGTCAAAAATTACATTTGCCAACTATTATATAGTAAAAAATGTACAAAATGTGCAACTTTTATAGCTGAAGCTTCGTGAATATTTTTTATAATTTTATTAATTTCCTTTCATTTTTTTTGTTTTATCCAAAGAGCATTTAAAAAGAATTCATCCAGCGCACATTACACCTGTTTTAAATAATGAAGAAGAATTAGATTTGAATCTATCAGCCGGACCATCTACTTTTTCTAATAATTCCAACAATATACAACAAACTGAACCCTGCTTTCCTTCTGCACCTAAACGTTGTCGCCAATTAAAATTATATGGTTCGACTGAAGGTAACAATTTAACAGATGAAGTAAAAAATTCAATAGACGAAAGTTTAATTAAGATGATTGTTACTGATTACCAACCTCTATCGTTAGTTGAGAACAGTGGGTTTTTAGAATATTCTAAAAAATTGCAACCTTTATATAAAGTTCCCAGTAGGAAAACATTAACTACAAAATTATTGCTAAATGAATACAATAAGATTGTTACAATATTAAAAAAAATGTTGGTAAATGTAACTAGTTTGTCAATTACAACTGATATATGGACTTCTGACAATAATATAGCTTATTTAACAGTTACTTGTCATTTTATATTTGATGATCGTCTATATTCACCTGTCTTGGCAACTAGAGAAATGCATGAATCTCATACTGGCGTCAACATAGCTAATTTGCTTTCAGATATTTTAAATGAATGGGGCATTAAAGATAAAATAGTGACTATAGTCTCGGACAACGGATCTAATATAAAAAACGCTATAAATATACACCTTAGTAAACACCACCATCCATGTGTCGCACACACACTCAATTTAAGTATTGACGAAGCAATTTTGTCTAATAAAGATTTCCTGGATGTTTTAAAAAAATGCCGCACATTGGTAGGACATTTTAAACATAGTGTCTTTGCGTCTGAAAAACTAAAAGAACTGCAAACACAAATGGGACTTCCTGTATTAAAAGTAATACAAGATGTGAGTACAAGGTGGAATTCGAGCATTCATATGTTAGATAGACTTGTACAAATTAAAGCACCTTTGTCGGCAGCTATGACATTTCTTCCCCGTGCACCAGACCTTTTAACTGCACTAGATTGGGAATTAATAACTGATTGTCTACCTATATTAAAACCATTTGACGTCATGACAGTTGAGTTATCTGGTGAAATATATCCAACACTTTCTTCAGTCATTCCATTAGTAAGGGGCCTTCAACATACATTAAAAAGTATAATAACTAATACAACTGCTGGAAATGCACTTCAAAAAATTGTAATTGAAGTCATCGTTAGACGATTAGGTATACTAGAACGTGATAAAATAGTTGCTAAATCAACCTTTTTAGACCCTAGGTTTAAAAAAGCAGGTTTTGTATTAATTGAAAATGCAAATAATACCGAAAAACTGCTTATGGAAGAACTATCTGATATATTAAATAATAAACACCAGGAAGATACATGTAGTGTACCTATCAACAGTATCAACGTCGAATCCAATGTATTATGGAAACAATTTGACACGAAAGTGTCCCAGATCAGAAGCACTTTATCAACAGGAATTACAGCTTCACTTATAATACGTCAGTATTTAGAAATGCCATATTTAAATCGCAAGCAAAGTCCACTGGATTTTTGGAAAAAAAACAAAAATACTTTTCCAGAATTGTACATGTTGCAAATGAAATATTTGAATGTTCCCGCAACATCGGTTCCATCGGAACGCGTGTTTTCTAAAGCAGGGCAGATTACCAACGACCGTAGGAATAGACTTCACCCAAAAAACTTGGATTTTATTATTTTTTTAAACAGGAACACAAATATTGAATTTTAATTATAAATTAAATTTGTTATCAGAACCTTCATTTAATTGTAAAGCTAAATATTTTAAATTGTATTACACAATACACAGTACAACATATTAAATTATAGTAATTATACTATACATATAATATTGATGTAAATAATTAGTTTTTACTTATTTATATTTTATTGTCAATAAATATTAAATACTAAAGAATCAGTAAAGATGATTTTTAAATAACTAATTTATGTTCATTCGATTATTCTATCATTCGAATGTTTATGATTAGGTAATTAAATCGAATAATCGAATTGATTCGAATGGTTTCGATTAATCGAATGATTTTAAAATAATCGAATTAAATCGATTTTACAAATAATCGAATGATTCGATTATTTTATTCGATTATTCCCATCACTAGGTGTAACTTCGAAAAAATAAAAGCTGAAAACCACTGGAGGGTTGACGGTCAGGGGTGACAACTCTACAGAAAATTCTGTATTTTTACAGATATTCATTACTGTTTACGGATTCAGAGAATTAGCAAAAGATCTACGGATTTTTTTTTTAAAGAATTTCTCATTTAAATTTACTATACTTAAATTATTTTAATGTAGATATAAAGATGCTTGAGCCACAGAATATATTTTGTGTTTGAACTTGCTAAAAATCACAGAGCAATCTACATATACGGGTGTCTTATCACCTGTCATATGGAGTGGTTCATATAGGAGATGCTAAATGTTTGGAAACTAAATTGATTGGAACTCTAAAAGTATAGAAAATAAAATTTAAGAATGCCAAGGTTTATGAAAATATTTTTTTGGAAATTATAAATATAATTGAATGGAAGAAAGATTTGTTAGAAAATAATTGATAGGAAATAAATTATCGGAAACCTAAAATCATGGAAGATATTATACACTGAATATAATAACAATGAAAATAAATAATAAGAATTCTAGATTATTCAAAAATAATTCACAGGAAAATAAATAATTGGAAACCTAAAAATCAATGAAAATGATCATTGTACCTTAGATTGAAGGGCGTATATAGGGGCAATTGGGCATTTGCGCCCCCCCCCCCCCATCGCCGTTTTTTTTCTATATAACACAATAATACGTCATCAACAGTAAATTATTTTTAAATTTATATGGAAGAAAAATTAGTACCCCCCATAATCAAAACTCAGATACGCTCTTGCTTAGATCCTTTATACCTTATACCCTTATACCTACCTAGCAGTGGTGGTTCTACACAGGGGGTAACTGTAGTGTCTTGATAGAGATCTACGGTATTAGCTTTCCCCGTATTTAGTGTTCTATTTTAAAGCGTTCTTGAATTTTATGATTCATTCATTAATATTTTTCAACCAATTATTTTCCATAAGATTAATAATTCAATTTTTCTTTTTCCTTACTTTTATTTACTATGAAATTATTTTCATTTAATTTAAATTCATTTACAATTATATTTCTATTAAATTATTTTCAATCAAATATTTTTCCAGTTATTTATTTTCGGAACCTTTTTTTTCAGTGAAATTATTTTCCAACACAATACATTCCCATTCATATTATTTAAAGCGATTAATAGAGGTTGAGCAATCAGGAAATCTACAACCATGGTTGTATCACAGAATAGATTAAATTTAATCTATTCTGTGGTAGTATATTCTATTGTCTATTATCTAGATAATGATATTTTATTTAATTACCAATTTAACATGATTATTACTAATTTTACATGTACTTTTTATAAGCATAGAAAAGTTATATTATATTATAGAAAATTATATTATAATTTTTAATTTGAAAATTGAAATCAAATATCAGAAGTTGAGGACTCTCCCTAAACTACTGAACTAAATAAAGAAATGGAATCAGAATCTCCAAAATTATACATAATTCATAATCGCTTTTATGCTCTATACAGGCGAATTTTAAGTAATTATATTAAACCAGAATATTTAAATTCTACTTCTATAAAAAATGTTCAATTTAGAAATCCCACATCTTTTTAAATTAGGATAAAATATACTTAGGTGGGAAGTTAGTTGGTCACCTATTACCTATGAACTGTCAAATAACTGAAGCAAAAAAAAAAAAGAATTTATAACAAATTGTCTGAATTTTTATATAGAAGCGGCTTTTTAGATTTATAAAAGATTTCCATTAAATGATTTGCAAGTTATCCGTGAACGTAAAATAATTAATCCTAAAGAAGTTTTTTTATCTGATACACAATCTATTGTATCATTGGCAACTCATTTTAAAAATATTATTCTTGATACAAACCTAATTGCTCTAGATATCGAATTTCGCTTGTTAAAAAACACATTGGAAATAAAAAAATTAATAAATGAAGATACATCATAGTTTTGGTACAAATTGAGTACATTCAAATATAGCAATGATACTTTGGTTTTTCCTCTACTATCAAATTTTGTGAGAGGATTGCTTTGTTTACCACATTCCAGTGCCAATATTGAAAGAATTTTTTCTTCTGTAAATGTAATTAAAACAAAACAAAGGAATGCATTGAACTCAGAAAGTATTGAAGGGATATTAAATTCAAAAACAGCTATCAAAAAAATTTAATGTTATGATTATGATTTTCAAAAAGAACATTTGAATAAATTCAACCAGTTTATGTATGATTTTAAGCAAAAACATTGTATTTTAATTTTCTACTCTTAAGCATACAGGAAGTCCCTAATTTATTTTATTTTTAAAATGTTTAATACCTTTTATATTATATAATAGATTTGAGTATATATTTTATAGAATGTTTTGTTTTCATACTGCAACTTAGTATGGATATAGTTTTGTTTGATTTGAATTCAAAGATATAAGAATGTTTATAAATTTATTATGTTATTTACCTACTGTGATTAAAAAAATAAATTGCTCATTTTAATATAGAAATCAATTTGTATGATGTCATTATTTTACAATTGATTAATTTTATAGTTAAAATATTTTAATGTATTAAAAGAGAAGAATACATATCTATAAAAATATAAAAAAAATTACGGATTTCGTGCATTATCTACGGATTTTTTTATAAATAGTAAGATTTTAAACATTTATAGTTGGCACCACTGTTGATCGTCGAGTACCATTATATTTCAAAAAGGAAAATGACGTGTAAGTGGGTAAAAAACATGCTTGCTAAATGGGACTTGTTTGGCCGTATGCCATTATTACAAGAGTTGATAGTAAAATATAATAATAATAATATATTAAAAAATAATAATAAAATAATTATTATCAATAAATAAAAATGTATTATCGGACCGGGTCTTTTAAATTAGTAAAGTAACGAAAAACTCGATCCGTTGGATGATATCTATTGAATTTCAATTTGTAAGGATTGAACTCCGAAAACATCACACACTGTGTGACTTTTTAGAGGATTTAATACCCCACATACCAAATCTTTAATAAAATTCTCTCGTGTAGTGGCGCCGAACTCGGGGTTTAAGTCTATTCATGATCAGACCATATTTTTAGAGTAGTAGGTAGTGCCGTAGTGGATTAGTATACGAGTAATAAATGAATTAATACAATCAAAAATAAATTGTAAAATTGTCCATTTAATAATTACTATTTAAGACGTTCAAGTATCTAAATTGTATAATAAATACAAAAATAGGTTAAACATTTTTGAGACGAAGTGAACTCCCAACCAGGGGCATATTAACATGTTTCCCGCTTGTAAGCCTGTGAAAAATAGCCACCCTTAATAAGTAAAATAGACCAATTTATCATTTATTTACTATAAAATATACATTAATTAAGTAAAAGAGTTGTCATAGTAAAATTGAATACACAATATTTTCTAAAATCAACTAACAAAATGAAGAGGAAAGAAATCAAAATTTCAAAAGTTCAAAATTAAAGATCACCTTAATATATATATAGACGGCGATAAGAAATTATGAAAATGTAAATCTTGTTAACTGTTGATGGGATAAGCTATTGTCTACTATTTTTTTCGGATAGGAAAATATATATAACATATTTTACTATGTCAGAAAAACTAAAAACGTATATAAATATAATTATATGTAATACATAATGTAATAATAAAAAATTATATGTAATACCATAAAACGTATAACCTTCAAAAATTTGCCGCTGTAGACACGTGCCTATCGTGCCTGCATATATATATATATTTTCGTGTTAACAACCCAAGGGCTGGTTGGCATTATTCCTCCATTCTTCACGCATTTCCGCTTTACGCTTTAGTTCATAGCATGTTCCACACCCTATATCCCTCACTACTTGTCTTATGTATTCGAGTGGTGGCCTTCTTCGACTATTCTTTCCTTCTATATATCCTTCTATTATTCTACCTAGTAAATTGTTATGTCGTAGTGTATGTTCCATTAGCTTAGCTCTTCTTATCTTCAAAGCTTTCAGAAAACCTCTCCTACTATTCGAAAAACTTCTTCATTTGTTATATGATCCACCCAACTTATTTTGAGAATTCTGTAGCACCACACTTCGAATGCCAATATTTTCTTTTCTTCAGCCTTCTTTATTGTCCATGTCTCACTACCATAAAGTGCCACGCTCTAGACGCAGATCTTTAGTAGATTTTTCCTTATTTTCAAGTCTATATTTCTAGAAGTAAGTAGGCCCTTTCATTTTTGGAATGCACATCGTGCCTGTTGTAATCTGCATCTTATTTCTTGAGCGCATACTCCATCATTTGTTATCATATTTTCCAAATACTTATATTTATCTACTACTTCAAGCGTGTCACCATCTAGTTTTATGTCTGACTTAGCTACTTCATTTCGACTACAGACGAGGATTTTAGTTTTTGATTTATTATCATATGATATTCATTCAATACAGAAAGAATTAATTCACATCATGGCTAGTATGATAGTAAATAAAATATCTTCTGAACTAGACAAATCTATGTATTTTGCAATAATGATAGATGAAACTAAGGATGTTACAAAAACTGAACAATTATCAGTTGTTGTTAGATATTATTATAACAATGAAATTAAAGAGCAATTTTTAGGGTTTACTCCACTAAAAAATTTAGATGCAAACACATTATTTAATCATATTCAAATAAAATTAAATAAATGTAAGATTGATATAAATAAATGTGTTGCACAGACATATGATGGAGCTAATGTTATGAGAGGTTCAATTAATGGAATTCAAGCTTTATTTAAAAATAAAGTTCCTCATGCTTTTTATATTCATTGTCATAATCATTGTCTTAATTTAGTTCTTGTAAATGTAGCAAAAAATGTAGATGAAGTAAATTTTTTTTTTTAATTTTTTACAAAGTTTATATAATTTTATATCTGGATCTTCAATTCATTCTAAGTTTATTGAGCTTATTGAGTTTATTGAGTTTATTGAGTTTATTGATAATACATTTTAAAAATTCCAAAACCAATTGAACTTAAAAGATTATGCCTTAATCGTTAGTCATCTCAAATTCATACATGTCGAGCTGTTAAAGCTACTTTGGAAGTTATACTGTTGTTATTATATAAGATATCAAATGAAAAAAGTATGCGTTCCTCAAAAGCTACTGGTTTACTTAAGAACATAAATTTTAAATTTATATATTTATAACTTTTTTTTTAATGATTTACTTTCCCAAATTAACTTGTTAACCAAATATTTACAAGATAAAAATGCTGAAAATGGCCTATGGCCAAAGCAATTATATTAATGAATTATCTTAAAAAACATTTTTGTGAAATAAGAAATGATCTAAGTTATCATTCAAAATTATATAGTGAATCCAAATTAATGGCAAATAAATTAAATATAAAACACCCTTCTGCACAAAATAAAGAAAAAAACAGAATTAAAAAATTATCCAAACATTTGCAAAAATTTATAGTTCATGGTAGTTAATTGGAAAGTTCAGTATTAATACTGAACTTAAGTTCAGAAACTGATTTTCAAAAAAACCTTTATTTAATTATTATAGATAAAATCAATGCTGAACTAAGTAAAAGATTTTCTAATAACGAAGATTTATTGATGGGAATTAGTGTAAAGAAATAGTAATATTTTGGATAAAAATCTTATTCATCCATTTGCTTTAGCTTATATGTGTGATATTGATTCCTTAGATTCTGAATTAAACATTATTAGAAAATCAATAAAACAATTTGAATTAAAATACCATTCTATAAAAACTATTTTTCAATATCATAAATTTTTATTGGATTATCAATTAGCATTTTTTGAATTATACAAGTTATGTACTATTGCAATTACAATACCTGTATCTTCAGCAGCATGTGAAAGAACTTTTTCATATATGAAAATAATTAAATCATATTTGAGAAATTCTATGCTTCACGATAATCTATCTAGCTTAAGCATAATTGCTATAGAAAAATCTGAAGCAAAATCATTAAATATTGAGGATATAATCAATATTCTTGCTGAATGTCATAACAATAGAAGAATTTTATTCAAATAAATTATTTATATTATTATGTATTTTATTGCTGTCTTTTTTAACTTACCTATATGTGTTATACAGGTACTTATATAATATATTATTATCTTATCGTTCTTATTATTTCCAATTTTTATTGAGAAAACAAATAATTAATATTAAAAGTTTTTAATTGTTCAATTTAAACTTTAAACACAGTTGTTTTTTATTTTATCTTAAAATATTATATTTATGTTGTTTTTTTTTTTATATAATAAAATATTTCGTTGAATTGTTTATTTGAATTGGTATTACAACATAATATAATGTTTATTGTCAGTTTAAAATACTTGTAGTTATGTTTTTATAGTTATAGAAATTCAATTGTACTACAATTGATACCTGATGGTGTAATTGGTATTTAGTATAATTTTGGGTTTGGAAGTATAAAAATTAAAAAGTGTTTACATGAATATATATTTTGTTAGGAAATAAATACTATTAATACATGTTTACAAATCATTGTTTTAGTAAGTTAACATGATGAAGTGTATATATTATATATATATATATATATATATATATATCAAGTCAATAATTTGGCCCTCCCTAAAAAATTTGGACCCCAGCCTGGCCCACTTAGTATTAAAATTCTGGCGTCGCCACTGCTACACAATCTTGTAAAACGAACTAAGCGTAGGCGCCAGGCCCGGATAAAAATTAATTTTAATCCAAGACATACATAATATAAAATTTATATTTACTTATTTTATAAATTGTCGAAAACCATAAAAAAAATTTTTATACCAATTTGCATACTACAAAAAAATCGTAGCCACACATTTTCGTTGGCCCTAGACATAATGCCTATGCGCTAATACAGCCCTGGTAGGTGCAGCTGTATCATTACCCACTTATACATTCGTATTGCTATAAATAAATTTTTTATTCCCGACGAAATAACGGATATTATTGCGAGAGACACCGTGACAATTCAAATACGTAACTGACGGACATCAAATATTAATAGACATCCATATCCTTGACATTTCCGCGGTGTAACTTGCTGATAATCGATTTATGAGATGGAACATAATATATTATAATACGTGCAAATTATATACATGTCAAATATATTTTGTCTTATTATCGGACTTAGGTCACGTTTTGCTACAACGGTCTTTCGTTGTAACTTATCAATGAGCCGCTTCCAATATACTATACATGTTCACGTCGATATGTATATCGCCGAATAAACGTTCGAAAAAGGTTTGAGTGTTAACATTTTGCAGCGACACGCACGTGTCATTAATCAAATGCGGGCGACATGCTCGAGGGAACTAATAACCCGAAAATAATAATAAATTGGTATCTATACAGGTACACCTCAGATCCCTATATATATATGTATGTATGTAAGTATGTACGAGTATGTGTATATGCGTGTGTGTTTTATGCATATCTTGATCTCGATGAACTGTTGCGATGTGAATTAACCCATCGACGAAGTGAAAGTCAAATACAAAAATACAGTTACACCTACAACACGGGTTATAACTATATTTAATAAATGTGTGTGTGTGTGTCAAGGGCATATTTGAGGAGGGGGCGAAGGGGGCATTCGCTCCTCTATGGCTCGTATTTTTTTTTGAATATAATACATTGATTTATTTAAAAAATGTAATGTATAAATAATTAAGAATATAAATTATTAGTTCATAATTATAATATGATAATAAATTCAATAATATGTCAATTTAATCATGGGTATCAATTTTTGTTTATCTTCTTATGTCATAATATTTTTGGTTGTGGAACAAATAGCGGTATTATCTTTCACGGATATTGCTACGGTTATAGATATTTACAACTATAACCGAGATATTCATCAGATAATATAAAGTAATTTAAAGTAACACTTTTTTTACCACATATTTTCTAGTTATTCATTTTTTGGTGCATTTATGCATATTGTATATTTTTGTATTCATTAGAGTTATATAATTCCTTAATAATTTTACTCATCTATTTTTTTTTTTTTTTTACAGCATAATATCTGGTACTTTTTACTGTGCATAGGTATTTAGTCAATTTTTTGTATACAAATGCATGCATATTTGTGTATTTTATAGAACTAGAAATAATAATCATAATAACTGACAATATTTGTTTCCATATTCTTTAACTTGCAAATATTGGCCAAAAATATATTTTTGTAAATTGAAAACATGGTTAGGATCAAGAATAGGCCAGCACAGACTAACAGGTTTGGCTTTGCTGCATGTGCATAAAAATATTATTGTATCCATTGATGAAACAATCAACAAATTTGCCAAAATTAAAAATAGAATTTTGGAATGTGCATAGGCGTGCGCACGGGGTGGGCCACCCTGCGAGCAGTGCCGCAACAACCGCAGGGGCAATGCCCCGGTAAAAGGGTCTTCTTTTGTAGTCTTAGGGGCCACCAACAACCTCAATTTTCCACTAGAATTTTATGCTTCGATTTTAAAAATTGAAAATAAAAATTAAACCTGAATCTGACTACCTATCAGATTATAATGAATACGTACAAACTCGGTTAAAATAATAAAATTGAGTGATATTTTTGATAGTCGTATAAAATAATCATTGTCAAATAATAATCTATATCAGAGGTATTCAAACTGTGCGTCGCGGCTCCCAGGGGCGTCGCGGGAGTTGTCGAAGGGAGCCACGTCATATAATTGAAATCCAATAAATATTTTTATGAAAAACGTTTATAATTATCATTGACGCACACCGGTTGGGAAATGTTGAATTGTCTACATTGTCTACAATAATCATTCGCTAAATATAGCTCTAATTTGTTTCCATAATGTTATAGCGATAACGATAAATTGAAGTTTTATATTTATAGTAGGTACTTGATTATAAAAACCAGTTATTATTATTATAGCAATATAGCGGCCAAATTGTTATAATAATAATAGCCCGTGTTGTAAGTTTGTAACCATCGACTGTTATCGTTAGTTCGTTAGTCAGTGCGTACTGCGTAGTCGTGTTTGGCAGAACTAGTCGCGAGTTGTGTTCGTCTATTGATTATTAACGTGTACAAAATTGATAGTTTTCTTGTGTTAGTTAAGAGTTAAGTTTTAGAGTTTTATCAGGATGGATAAATTTTTGAACAGACCTAAACGTGATAATCCGGAATTTGATAGTTCTAATACTGTAAGAAAATCAAAACACCGTAAATATGATGAGAGTTACATGGATTATGATTTTACGTATACGGTAGTGGAGAATGAAGAACGTCCACAGTGTGTTATTTGTTTCAAAGTGATGGCTGTTGAAACCATGCTCCCTAATAAAATGAAACGTCATTTGGAAACGGTACATCAAACATTGAAAAACAAACCACGTACATATTTTGAGTCAAAATTAAAAGCAATGCGTGAACAAAAGACAACCTTTGCCAAGCATGCTAAGATCCCTTCTAAGGCTCTGCTTGCATCTTACAGAGTTGCTTATCAAGTCGCTAAATGTAAAAAACCACACACTATTGCAGAACAGCTCATTTTACCAGCAGCAATGGATATGGTGTCAATTATGCTTGGGGAGGCTGCTGCCAAGCAATTAATGAACATACCATTATCAGATACTACTATTAGTCGCAGAATACTTGATTTGGCTGAAGACATTAACGATCAATTGATAGATAAATTAAAAGGCAAATATTTTTCTCTACAACTGGACGAAGCCACTGATAATAATAATAATGGCCACCTAATCTGTTACGTGAGGTTTATAGATAGTGGCGTTTTTCACGAAGATATTTTATTTTGCCGAACTATTAAAAGTCAAGCTAGAGCAGTAGACTTGTTCCAAATGCTCGATTCTTTCATTACGGAAAATAATTTAATGTGGGAAATGTGCTGTGGTATTTGTACTGATGGAGCTCGTTCGATGTCAGGATGTTACAACGGACTTCAAGCCCTCATTAAAAAAAAAGCCCCATTTGCTGTATGGACTCATTGCATAATTCACAGAGAAGCTCTCGCTTCAAAATCTATCAGTCCAACTCTTGATGAAGTATTGCAATCAACTATTAAAATCGTTAACTTCGTCAAAACTCGTCCGTTGAAATCCAGATGTTTCGAACAAATGTGTGTTGATATGGGATCTGAGCACACTTCCTTACTTTATTATTGTAATTCTCGATGGCTTTCACGTGGAAATGTAGTGGCAAGAGTATTTGAACTTAGAAAAGAACTTCATCTTTTTCTTTTAGAACACCATGAATACCACAAAAAATTTGAAGACACTGATTTTCTTACAAAACTGTCATATCTTTCTGATATTTTTTCAAAGCTAAATATATTAAATAAATCGTTGCAAGGAAATGAAACCCATATTTTTGAGCTTCTTGATAAAATTACGGCTTTCCAAAGAAAATTAGTTTTATGGAAGACTAAAATAGAAGAGGACACTTTTAATGACTGCTTTCCTACGCTCCATACATTTCTAAGAGAAAATGATATGAACTTGAATGAGATCGTCAAAAATGAGTTCATTGACCACTTATCTAACCTTAAAGTTCATTTCGAACACTATTTTCCACAAAATACTCAACAACAAAATTGGATCAAAGATCCCTTCAATGCTGACCTTCCAACAAATTTGTTATCTATTGAACAAGAACAGTGGATCGATGTAACATCAGATTCCACAATGAAGACCATGTTCGGATCATCGTCGTTAACACAATTTTGGACGCATGTGAAACTACAATACACTGAATTGGCCACCAAAGCTTTGAAAAATTTAACACCTTTTGCAACTTCGTACCTCTGTGAAACCGGGTTTTCTGCGTTAGCTGTAATTAAAACAAAATATCGGTCAAAAGTGAACGTTGAGAAGGAGATGAGAATAGCTATTTCCAAACTTGAGCCACGATTTGAACATATTATAAAGCATAAACAAGCGCATCCATCTCACTAAAAATCTAGTATTAAGTAATATTAATTTGTTATTTTATTGATTTATATTTCCTAAGACTAAACATAAAATATTGTATTACCTATATTTTTTTCTACAATAACTACTTATTTATATTTTTTTTTTATATAATATGTAATACGGTAAATAAATAATTAGTATAAAATATAAAATATAAATTACATTCATATAAAGTATAAACAATTGATTTTTTTGTCATTTTTAATTTGGGAGCCGTTAATATTTTGTGAAGACTCAAAGGAGCCTTGGGATGAAAAAGTTTGAATACCTCTGATCTATATTTAAACATATACATATATACACACGTACATTATTTGTGGCAGTGCTATGCTACGAGTATTATATTATATCGGTTATCAGAATTACGATTGTTATTAGCCATTAGACAATATCTATGTATAGACATAGAATGGTTTATTATAAACGATCTTAAAATAAAATGTGATTCCATAAAAATAATAAAGCAAATTTTCGAAAATATACAAGTTTAGTTATACATATTACAATCTATCTTGTTGTTGGCTGTATGTGCGACTTTACTTGATGAGTGTGCCTCGTCACTAAAGAAAACAAGGGCGTCCTGAGGCATGTTTTCGAGGAAGGCTTCACATGCATTTTTTCACGCAACATAATCGCGTGGATTAAGTTGTTGCACCACTGCCAATTTGTATGGGTGAAAATTAAGTTCCTCATGAAGAATTCGTCTCACTGTGCGACTAGAAATCCCTAAAGCAGCCGAATGTTTGAGTGCAGATCGCCTAGGGGATTTCAAAATCGCCGCCCTTATCCTTTCGATGTTTTCTGGCGTCCTGACGGTTCTGGAAGGTCCATTATGTTTTTTCTGCACACTACCGGTATCCCTGAACGTGTCCACCCACAAACAAATCGATTTCCGATCAGGCACACGACCTACAGGTGCGATATTGAAATGGTTTCTGAAAGCACGCCGAGTTGCAATGATCGAACGGCTGAAAGAAAAGTAGGCCTCCACGGCGAACGCGCCGTTAGATACCAATGATATACACCCTGATGACCCCACAAATCCAGTTCCTAAAAACCAAACCGACTTCAAACAAAAAGTTATCAAAGGACCATATCAACCAGAATTAACTAATTATCCAAGAAGTGTTTTTGGCAGTAGGCACCGAAGCTTCCAAAAGTCATGGTATTTGATGTTTTCTTGGCTAGAATATAGTTCTAAAAAGAATGCTGTTTATTGTTTTCCTTGTCGAATGTTTTGTGGTTCAATTGAGCTTAATGCTGGACAGTTTGAAATAGTTTTTTCAAAAATTGGGTTTACAAATTGGAAAGTAGCTACAGAAAAGTTTAATGTTCACCAGCGATTAACATGTCACCTCAATAGTACTACATTATTAAAAACTTTTTTGAATCCCAATTCAAAATTAATAGATGTCATTTTAGATCAACAAAGAGAAGATATACGCAGTCAAAAGGAGATAAATCGACTGAAAAATAAAGAAACAATGAAGAAATTAATAGATATTGTACTTTTTTTGGGCGTTGGTGGTAAATCATTTCGTAGGCATACTGAAAAAACTAATGATGTACACAAAGGACTATTTTTGGACATTGTTAGGCTATTGCGAATGTATGATCCAGTTTTTGACCAGCATTTTATATCCGGACCCCAGAACGCTCTTTATACAAGTAATCGTATTCAAAATGACATTATACAATCAGTTAACTTAGTAATGAAAAGACAATTGCAGAGTACAATTGCCAATAAAAAAGTATCAATAATAGCCGATGAAACAAGCAACTGTGGTCACCACGAGCAGCTGTCTATTGGGGTACGATATTTTGACACACAAAAAAGATGTCCATATGAACAGTTTATTTGTATGAAACAAATTACCTCAGTCAATGCTGAAAATATTTTTAAGGTATTGAGTGATACTATTCATAAGTATAACATAAAATGGGAAAATTTAGTTTCACACACACACATTAACTCCTAGTGAAAGAAGAATAGAATTATGAATTGTAATTATTATATTAATTACTGTAAATTATGTTATTTTAATATTGTAATTATGTTATTTTGTGAACTTGAATACAATAACCTGACCTAATTACTATCAATTATAAATTTGCTTTTGATCCTAATTTAACAATGACTTGGCCCACCGTGCCACAAAGGTTGCGCACGCCTATAGGAATGTGTTATTTGACTACTTACCAACTTTATGTTTTCTACTTAGATCAGGCGCGGATCTAGGGGGAGGGTCATGGGGGTCATGACCTCCCCCCCAGAAAAACTGATCAAGATTAGATTCTTCTTGTTTATTTAAAAATTAAAATATGCATAAAATGCGTTTTTAATTTTTTTTCAATTAGATTTTTTCTTGCAATAAAAATGTTATACAACATATTACATTTATGTACATTTAAACTACATAACCACTTGTTCATAAAATCATAATTTCCATCCAACTAAGAATATTAATAGTGATTATAAACTTAATGATAGACTATAATTTTGTTGGCGAATAAATATAAATATAATAGTAAATCTGTGGAAATTTTTGAGTGTTCGACCTTCGACGGAAAGATAACTTATCTAATATAACTTATCTTAGATAAGATTACTGTCAATCCGTTGGCTGGTACCGAATTGGTTCCCAAGCTCCAAACCTATGTGTCGAATTGGTTCTCGTCTGAAAAGGGTATTTTATTAGGTAGAGCCGAATTGGTTTCCGTTTAACTACGCACATTTTCCTTTTCAATTTTACAGACTTAGGACTGTCAACTTTAAAGTAGGCTTGGTTAATATGCGTTAATGTTTGTTAAAAAAAAAAAAATGATAAAAATATTCAATTTTAAATCATTGATTTGGAAGTCGACTAGTCATCACTTAGGTGTACGAAATACAAGCGCGCCCGCAGGATAAAATCCCACCCGGCGCAAGATTAAAATTCTAAGGGTCACAAAGTGTATCTAAAAATATATGAGAACAAAATCAAATACCATAGAAATCGGTACTCGGAAGAATTTATAGTCTTAAGCGATATGCAGTTACGTGTAAATATTGTAAACAAATAAATACGTTCAAGATTATACATTTTTGAATATCTAAAAATATAATAAATTTTACTAAACTTCATCAATGGATCTCAATAAAATTATGTTATAATTAATATGCGTGGTATTAAATTAACAATAGTTTTGAAACAAAAATTCCCAGTAGGGGCAATGGCCCCTTTGGCCCCCCCTTGCGGGCGCCCATGACGAAATACAAATAATAAAATATAATAAATATATTCTAAAACCATTGATTTGCAAATTTAAAACTAACTTTCTTTAAATATTCAATTCTCGTAATCTTCTCATTAATGTACTCATTCATACAATTTTCCAATTGTTTATTATTTTTTTCCTGTTTGCTAATATCTAGTAATCTATATAATATCTATTATATTTCTATACTCTATCTTATCGATATAATAATTGTGTCTATATGTCATACATATAGCTTTTAAAATTTTGTTTTTTGTTCTCAATGCAGAGGCTCGCCTAACCTGTACACAAACGGGAACCAATTCAGCTATATCTAATAAAATACCTTTTTCAAACGGGAACTAATTCGGTTACTCCCAATCCGTTACCAGTATGTTTATATAATATTATACCATATACTTGCTATGACACCGCTAATCGCTAATTTAGGTTCTAATAACATGTTAAAAAATACTAACATGCGATAAAACATAAAACATGCGATCATTCTCTACTTTTAGGCGTTTTAAGGCTTAAGGTTTCATGGCTTCGTTTAAACATGGAAAAGGAACGCTTTGTTCAATATTCATAAAAATATACACATAAATGTTAATAATTTTATTTTTATATTTGGAAAAATAAAACAAAGAAGATTACATGTTGTTATTTAATTTTAAAAATTAACAATTTCATATATTCATAACATTCTAATTTGAATTAATAAATTACTTTTATTATTTTGTAATCGTGTATTATCTTTTTTTTTACTTTTGAAAAAATGACCCCCCCCCCCAATTTGAGTTCTAGATCCGCGCCTGACTTAGATATTTGTTAAATTAAGTTATCTATCTTAATTGTTTTTTAAAGCTGTGTGTGTGTTTGTGTGTAATAACTAGTATATATTTAGGTAATAGGTATAATATCCTTAGTATTTATACTTCCAGTAACTTACAAACCGATAAGAATATCTTGTATTTCCTTAAAAAAAAATAATTATTGGATGTTGCAATTTATTTACCGCTTATAACATTGTTGACTTCGAAATCAGTGCGAGTGCGTGTATTATTAATGTATGCAAACATAATATTCAAATTGTTACGTGGGCGAATCTCATTAATTATTTCAGTTTAATGTCTATTATTTCTAATCGACTGTAATGGTATAATACATATTGTATAATACAGTTTGCCATTTGCAAACGTACACTTCTTTCTCAACCAAAAAAAAAAATAATAATAATAATAATAATATTAATAATTTTGTTATCCCAAGCATGTAAATCATGTTTGGTTTAATGTGTAAAACAAAGAGTGTATATATTAAACTACGAACAAATCCAAAATAATTCTCATGCTCAGTACAGCGGTGGCGTGTGCAAGTATACCATAATAGGTATCACGTTAGTTATTGATAACATGTTTTCGTATGTTATTGTGTTAGGCTTTGAATATAAAATTTACCTAATATCGATAAATTAATAAAACAATATATTATTATAATATTTTACGATCGACTTTACTAACAGAATAATAAAAATAAATCACAAACAATTCGCCATAGTATCATGATGGAATTTTTTTTCATCGCACGGCAAGACGATTGTATGAATTTTAACCATTATTTACACAAAGAAAGAAGCCTTATATAATACATATAATTTTAATAGTTCTTTTTTTTTCAAAGCGTGCCATTTTCATAGAAATATTATAAATAGAACAATGGAAGGAAATATCAGATATTTCAAA